TGGCACTTGCAAGCTCTGAAGCACTGACTGCATACCACCTACTATCAACATGGATCGACCTTCGGTCTAGGGGGAAAGTACAGTGGCGACTGATACATAGCGACATCTAACTCATCGCACTAACATCGCCACAAAAATCGATAGCGAGACGAACTGCAATAAGTTTCAACACCAAGTAACGAGATGGCGCTGTACAATACAATAATCGGTAAAGTGGTAACCCAATACAATAACCGGTAAAGTAGGATCGCGCGCTCTTCATGTACACTGATAAACAAATATATCATTGTTTTAAATATACCTACTAGTATTCGCCCAATATCGAAATGTGACCATTTAAGTTGATATTCTTCCTATCTTCTTCAAGATTTTATGACATTCAGTAAATAAAAATTTAAGCGCATGATACAGTATGTAAAATTTTTCATTATAGTAAGCATTTCGGACTACTCCTTCACCTATATTTAAGTGTCCACCCCCCCCCCCCCCCATTTTTTTAAAAGAAATAATTGTCTAATTTTTCATTTCAAGTTCATTTACTTACTTGCATTTTTAATTGTTTAAAGAATAAATGTGCTTTTTGGATTGTGAAAGTGGTATATCTCGCACGAATTAACATAATACAAGGTTAACTATTCCTTTGAACCTCAAAAAAAAACGGATAATAGTCTTAATAATCATAACCATGAAGAATATCTGTGCTTCAGAAGAAGTGTCAGGTCATACTTCCTTTGCATTTTAAATTAATTATCGAAAAATGCGTTTCTATCAAATTGATTTATTTATAAATGGTACACAAACAGATCATAATCAAAGGAGAAACCTACAAACATATTTAAAGTATTTGGACTAGACTATAACCTAAAAACAGTGTACACAGCATGAACAGTATTAACTTTAAACATGAACAGACCCTCCAATAACTTTTAGTATATAGTAAAATTAAACTATTATTTAAATATGAAATAATCCATCTAAGCAGGGACCCATGAATGCCGTAGTGTTCGAGTTTGAGACTAAGCAAGCGATGATCAACTTTTAACGCTAGATTTAAATATGGGGATTATATGGGCAACTTTGCATCATGTAGGAAAGGTGGAAATGTAGGAAAGGAAAACCAGACTTTAGTGATTTATTGAAAATTATGGTCAATGGAAATGATAGTTCCTCAGAACAATGTTTGAGGAATATTGTAGGAATCCCATCCAGACCAGGACCTTTACTTGTATCTAATTGTCAAATTTTTAAACAAAAATCTTGACTAATTATGTCGACGTCATGCAAAGATGAATTATAACTACTTGGGATGTTGTCAATAGTTTGATTGGGAAAAATTGGAGAGTGTACTATAAACTGACCCAAAACATTCCGAAAAGAGCTCGCAGACGCCTTAACCATCTGAACATGTTTTATTATTATGGTTCATAGAAGCCGGCATACTCGAACATCCCTTCCTACTATTGACATATCGCCAAAATACCTTAGGGTCGTCACACAAAGAATCTTCAACTGAAGAAATAAAGTTATTTTGACATTCTGCAATTAGGGACTTACATCTTCGTCGTAGCAAGGAAAAAGTGTCAAAGTCTCAGGGATTTAAGTATATTTTGTAAAGTTTATGATATTTATTTTTTTCCTTAACACAGCGAATCAAGGCTACACTGTACGGGTACCAAATGGGATACTTATTTGACACTGTGTTTTTAGTTAATGATGTGTGTCCAGAAATATGTTCGTTAATATTTTTATAAAATAAATCAACACAAACATTGATATCAGTTGACGAGAGAAGTTTATCCCAGTCCACGCGTCTCAATTTCATTTTCAAGCGTTTATATTCGCATTTGTTAAAGTTGTAACGGTGTTTATACCTGGGCTTTATTAATTACTTCTATAATCGCTCATTTCAATACTGTATGCCAAATGATATAAATCTAAACGACATATTGCTTCAGTCTTAACAAGGCCGGAAGGTAGTGTGGAAAGAACCAAATCTAAAAATCTATGATTTTTGTTAGGAATACCGTTATACTGAACCAGGTGTGCATTGTTTCCATTAATAAAACTGCTCGGCGATCACGAGGGTACATTGGTGGGAGATAGGGTGTTACACCTTTCCGCACCCAGGATACATTCGCAGAATTGAAATCATCAAGCACTAAAAAGTTAACATCGGAACCCGCATCTAGTACGAAATGATGCGACTTTTTCAATAGGCAAATTAGGCGGCAAATAACAAAGGCAAACTTGTAAAGACGGAACATTGCTCCTATCCGAAAATATAGTAAGCCACACTTCCTCACACCACCCTCCCACGATATCTGACGAAGAACAGCAATATTATTTTTAACAGTAACAAGAATTCCTCCTCCGTATTGTTTTATAGAACAAGTATCGTTGCGATCTCGCCTAAAGACATTTATACCGGCTGTCAATCATCTCATTATCATAAACACTACTTTCAAAATTAGTCTCCGTCAGACAAATTAAATCGTAATCACAGTTTAAAAGATTTAAGTAAATATCTTTGAGTTTTGATCAAGCTCTACCCAAATTCTGATAAAAAAACTTTATAACAAATCTATATTAAATGAATTTAAAAAAAAAAAGGTAAAACAAAAATGTAGAACCATTAACCAGTTTTCTTTATCCTGTCGAGAGAGTCAACGCTCTTGATAAGAATAGCACCATAATAAAGTACTTTGTGAATAGCATTTGACCGATACATCTCTTGCCGCTGCATGCAAGCAAAGATTTTTGCTCTGGTGACAGATGTCATATCAAAGATGTAAGTGCCATAGAATTAATAAGTACTACGTACAACTAGAATGCTTACTGTGCGTCTAAACACGCGCCGAGTGAGAGGTCATAAATCTTGGTTTGTCCCTTTCTAAGTAGTGTAACCATTCTTACCTGAATACATTGGACATTAAAAGAAAATATTGATTATTGAAATTGAATAATATTAATATGAAGCAGGAAAAATTCTTATTTTCATAGGCAGACCCCCCCCCCCACTGGGGGAAGACCTAATAATAAAACGCAATCAAAATTGTATATTTTATTATGACTGTATTGTTTACATTTTAAAATTAAACATTACTTAACAAAATTGTTTTGTGCAATTTATGGCGTAAAGTAGCACGAGATGTGCCAATGGCCTTGAATGTGAGACCTTTGCCATAAGTTGACATTCTTATTATGAGAATCTCATGCCTTTGTTGTATTTATTTTTGTTCAATTGCTGATGAATATTTGGGAAACAGTTTGTTATGACAGATTGTACCTTTTCATAATTTTTACAATTTTCTTTTAAAACTGCTAAAAGTGACTTTAAATTATTAATCTTCATCTTCATGTCTCTTCTTTTGATTTTTGCCTAGTATTAATATCAAGTTTTAACTTCTTACATGAAGGACTTTAGTCAGGCGTATAACTAAAGGCGTTTAACACATTATTTTTTTTTGTTATCAGGAAAAATCTGTAATGAAATTAAGTAGGTACATAAAAATAAGTTATAATATGAATTGTTGTTTTAACTTATTATTTTCGATATAATGTTGTTTATAAATGAGTGCTTTAATATTAGGTAGGTACCTTTGGCAAGATTGAAGGAATCACTTCTGATTTCAGCCTTTTTCGAGCCTCTGTTCGGTAATATTTGGGTTTGAAATGAAGTGTACAAACCACACAGCTTTCATGTAAGTTCCCAGGTATCAACCATTTTTACTCTAAATCCGATGGCAAACTGGAAATTTAAATTAAAATGTATATTTTTTATTATAGTAATAATTTGGTTTGGTTTGGTGTGTAAATAGATATTTGCAAAAGATCGATCAAACGATAAGCCTACTGACCAATAAAATGATTAAAGGATACCCATTTATGAGCCTCTACATGCTTGTTTAATGTAGGTAGACTTGCAAATAGTGAATAACCAAAGTGTTAAGTGATACAACAATTTTAAATTTAGTACTTAATTAGGCAATAATAGGGTCTATGCTTATAGTACGTACGTACTTTACATCTCTATACGTAAAGTATAGTCACCCTAGTTTCTACTGATGACATACTTACCTGTGAAAAGATAATCCATTGCCAGGTACGATTCTTTCCCATACCCACTCACAGCACATATATTGTTTACCATTTTTCAATCCAATATACTATTTAAAGCACTTTTTTAATTCAGAGAGCATTAAAAACAAGTCCATATGACAAAAAAGAAAACGCCATGTTGCTTTTGTGGTGCCACGTGAATACTTCAATTTACCTAGTGTTGCATAACGTAAAGGTAATAAAACATGCCTACAATATTGAAATGTCGTGAAATATAAAAACTTTGTTTTATCTGGACCTAAAAGCTATTGCATTTATATTATTAGTGAACTTATAAACAAGCCAAATATAATATTCATATAGAAAACGTTTTGTTCTGTGTAAACAGTTTTCACGAATTTACCACCTTTATATCAACAATATTTCACATGGCAATTGTGCGACAGAGACACACCAAGAAAAAAGATGTCTCACTTATGCTCATTTCTCTATGTAGATAATGGTTATTTAAAAAACACTTTATACACATATCATTAAGGTTCATTTTGATATGTCAAAAAGATCGCAGTTAGCATTCCAGTTGTACGTAGTACTTATTAATTCTATGGTAAGTGGTAGTGTTTGGTGTGGCGCAATGTCTTATGAGCTGGCCGTTATTGTGGTTCCTTGAAATGGTTGAAAAGCATCAAAAGAATTAAAATAATACAAAAGTATAGACGGTATGGACTAACAGCCCTTCGCTTTAAACAAAATCAATAAAAGTAGGCTAATTTGTCACTGTCAGACTTATTTGTCATTTGTCAAAAACTACTACTATTGCCACTTGTAAAGTCGACCAAAATTACAAACTTTTTGTTGTTTTGTTATCTTTCATTCATTTCATTGACAGTTTTTACACGTAGATATTATTTTAATTTAATTACTTGACATTGGCAGAATCGTGTGAGACGCGCCGATAAGCCACTAATAATAAAAGAAGAAGAACTTGTTTTGTTGGGCTATTTATCTACAGTAACATAACTTTTATTTTTATAGAACTGTACCGCTGTTGAAACCTTTAGTTTGTCTCTTTACCAGTACTCTTTATTTTTAAAAGAATGAGTAACCGCAGTGAACTTACTAGGTTTTTTAATTGTTACATTTTACGTGATAACAAAATAATAAGGGAAGATTTGTGGATGCGTGATGGTAAAATTGAAAATCCGGAACACATTTTTTATGTAGAACAATTAAAACCAACACGAAACATAAATTGTAACAATGTATTGATTGCACCAGGGTTCATCGATATTCAAATTAATGGTAAGTGTTATATGTTAAAAAAGAACTTCAATCAAAATATTTGAGATGCTCTTCAAAAAATTGATACTACTTAGTGTATACAAGAGCTCCATGCGATGCACTTGCAGTATATGGATGGAGCAAACTATTACCACACTAGACCAATATCTTGCAACAAGTATCTGCTTTGCAATGAAAACTCATGGTACAGCCCTAGGACCCCATATTAAACTTACTACCCTGTTTTTTGTCAATAGGAAAGCCAAAATAATATAGTTCTTTAAATTTAATACATAACACCAAATAAAGTATTTGGTTAAATAATTAAACAATTAATTTCAATCTGTAGAAAAACACAATGGCTGCTTGAATGAGGGAACAACCTACTTTGATCTTAACTAGACAGTTCTCTTGAATTTCTTGCTAGTTACCAGTGCCTGGACTAAGAGTATAAGAGTAGGTTTTGATGCTATGATAACTGCATTTAACCAGCACTGGTCCTAGGCTGTAAAGATCCAAACTGTAGAGCTGTTTAGTTCAAGGATATAAATGTTAAATCCTTGCCATAAGTGAAAAAAATAAGTATTTGAAAAATAAAAAGAAAACTGAATAAACTACTATCAGTGGATAAATAATCTTAATGTGGATTTTATTTAAGAATGCTTGATTTACTTGATATTTATATAGTTTAGATAATATTCTATATAATTCTCATTTCAGGTGGCTGGGGAATTGATTTCTCATATGACTGTGATAATGTAGAAAAAGGAATAGAAAAAGTAGCCACAGAACTTCTAGCTCATGGGGTAACCTCATTCTGTCCGACAATGGTGACATCATCAAAAGAAAAATATGCAAAAATATTACCAAAGATAAAAAAATCACAAGGAGGCAGACATGGAGCCACAGTTCTTGGTGTGCACCTCGAAGGTCCATTCATTAGCTTAGCTAAAAAAGGTGCACATCTTGATGAATACATTCGTACACCTGACAAGGTGAATGAACTTTTATAATTCTTCTGACTAAAATGTGTATTTTATATATCCATGCATTTGACCTAATTTTCAATAACAGTGATAAATATACGACCATTATTTGTTTAAGAAATAATACAGTTGTGATGTATGATTTTGCAATATGTTGTTAAAAACTTTATCTGTGTCCTACATTCAATGTAATTTATTTATCACTTGTGTATTGAACTTGCATCATTATGATAACTTCTTTACTCCATTTGTATACAAAGAGAAATATACAAATACTATTTAATATGCTAACAGTCAGTTCCACAAACATCCATTAAGGTTTAATGACACCTTTAAATTCTGATGAATGTCAAATTTGTAACGGTAATGTTGCTTCAAATTTATGACAATTTTAATGGTTGTTTGTGCAATTGGGTGCTAATCTGCTAAACTTGAAGAGTAGAATGAATGTTAGTATTTTTACCACACCAATTGTGACTCCATTGTTATTTAATATTTGTGTTACTTCCAGGGTCTAGAATCAATTGCAGAAGTATATGGATCACTAGATAATGTGGTAATAGTAACTTTAGCTCCAGAATTACCAGGTGCCACAAAAGCTATCAAAGAGCTAACAGACTTGGGAATCAAAGTTGCTCTAGGTCATTCCACAGCCAGTCTAGCGCAGGGCGAAGAAGCTGTTAAGAATGGAGCTAATTTAATCACTCATTTGTTCAATGCAATGCTCCCCGTTAGTATTATTACAACACAGTAGTGTCAAATATTTGTTACCATGGGTCAATAAAATATTACTAAATTGTAACTCACATGGTGTAAATTTGAGAGAGCCATAATTATCCTCAAGCTCTTGACTATAAAATAATGTCATACACTTAAATATCTTATTGCTCTACTTCTAATGAATATTTAACGCATCCATGAACGCTCATCTCTCAAATTAGATCATGGTCATATGTAACTTTTGGCATATGAAATTTTATTGATTGTATTTTTAACTCCCAGTTTCACCACCGGGATCCTGGTTTGGTAGGTCTGTTGGCTTCAACTACCAAAAGACAAGTGCACTATGGCATCATATCTGACGGACTCCACACACATCCAGCAGCACTTAGAATAGCTTGTAGAACAAACCCTGAAGGTAAAATATTTATAAATGGGATTTTCAATATCCTGAAGAAAATATTTAGGTGTAAGAAATTGATGAGACATTGATTAATGTCATGATTATTGAAGATGTATTTTGATTTTAATCAACACAATGAGGAAGTATTTTAAGAAAAAAAGAAAGCACTTCACTAGATTGCGACTCAAAAGTTGATTTTTGCAGGAAACAAATGGACCAAAGTAATTTCCAGGCCTTTTAACCAATACATTGAAAAACTGAAATTTGCTAAGTTCAAAGCTTAGATATCGAATACGAAGAAGTACAAATAGAATATGAGTAGTTTATTGTGTTTTGAAAATTAATTTACTTTTATACATGAAAGAAAACTGGAAGGGTTGTCATGGAGACATTGAGAAAGTGCTGTAGCGACATTTTATTTCGGAAAATTTTTTTTTTTAATACTTCCTCATTATAAAATATAACAATTAAGTGTTTATCTCTTTGACTAGTCTATAAATTATAAATATTAGTAAAATATTTCTCTAAACAATAATGATTTATATCAAGAAAAAAAATTCAATATTCATAGTCTGTGGCTCACATTAAATGAAAGACCAATCAGAGCGTGTGACGTTATTCCCTGGTAATTTAATCTAGGGAAAAAATTGTGTACTTAAGAAAAAAAAATCTGTTCAAAAGTCATAATCATTTTGATTTGATTATAGATACTTTAAGTACGCTTTTGTACGTTTTCTACAAAACTGTGACGTAACGAGCCCCCACTCCTCTACTTCAATGATAATAGGCATTAAGACATTTTTTGTTTAAATTGAAGCAAAAAAATGCGTATCTAAATTTTTCTATTATCTGAGTGAGGGGCTGAAAGAACTTCTATTTTTTACCCAGTCGTCATCCCTATTTAATATTTAAAGGACATCGACATCGTTTTGTTTTGAGATTTTTTTTATATTTTCTCATTCCAAATTTAATTACAGGCCTAATATTAGTGAGTGATGCAGTTGCAGCACAAGGCTTACAAGATGGAAAGTACCGTATAGGACCTCAGTCAGTGACAGTGAAAGATGGATGTGCTTATGTCACTGGAACAGATACACTCTGTGGCAGCACTGCAGGACTAGACGATTGCGTCATCAACTTCAAACAGTCTATAGGTAATTATAACGTTATATATTATTAAGATAAATGCGTACTTAAACTGCTAAGTTCATAATATTAATAGAATAGATTAATAGATATTTAATATTTTTATTTACTTTAAATTAGGATTTACTTAATTCCAAACCTAATTTAAAAAATGACCTTTAGTCAATAATAATCATATTACGAATCGGCTGTTCCAAAATTAAACACTGAAAAGGAACATGATATTTATTGAAATAATATAAATAAAAAGCTTTGTAGGTTTTTTAAAAAATAGCATGATACGTGTTATCTATATGAGAAATGCAACATTAAGCTTTAAACTAGGGCTCTTGGACCCCGCATTCGTCCTAAAAAGGACAGACAAGCGAATCTCGTCTACCTGGTAAAACCCGCTGCAAGTACTCTCCGAGGTCGAGAGAGTACTCCGCCGACTCCGAACCTGATGTTATACCCTTAGTACTTCATACTAAATTATCAACCATTAATATTGAATATTTTTCTATTGAAGATCTCTATCTCAAGCTATCTATTAATTTTAACATCGATAATAATGTAGTAACGTGCGTAGCATTAGGAATTCGAGAGTCGAAAAACGGATTTGAAAATGAAATGTTATAAAGACGCACCCGAATATAGTGACGTGAGGTTTTTACACATAATAAAATTTTTTTTTTTCAGATTGCTCATTAGAATATGCTTTACAAGTAGCGTCACTGCATCCAGCTCAAGCTTTGGGCATTGATAATAAAAAGGGCAAATTGAATTACGGCTATGACGCAGATTTGGTTTTTCTACATTTGGAAACATTAAAAGTTCAATCTACTTGGATAGCCGGCGAATGCGTTTACAGCATTAGCTAACAATATGCAAGTTCAATATTCCAATTATATATAGGTATTAATTCTAATGACAAATGTATGTATTTTATCTTTAAGACAAAATTAATATCGGTTATAAGTGGTACAATGAAGAGATATAAATAAGGATGGACTTTATGATGACTACAAGCGGTTGCAGCAGGATGATACTATTTAAAGTATGACACCGCTAAACCTACAAATAAATTGGTCCTATAAAATTCGATGCATGTACGTTAACTCCTCCGTTTTAATGGAGAAGTACCCTTAAATGCCTTTACAACTTAATATGTATGGTGATATTCGGCTGTGTACATAACGGTCCCAGGTTTTCCAAAGTAAACTCAATCAGTCAGATTTGAAAACATAACTGTCAAATTTCTTCAAGTCTTTATATTATATAAACTTGTATACCTATTTTTATTTTATAAATGAATTTAGATAGGTATATAAGTTTAAAAAATCCAGTGATTTGTAGTTAGCTTATACTTAAAAAAAAATGTATTTTATACTTAATATTAATGTAATTTAAGACTAGTTGCAACATACTTTTTCATTGTTATATTGTGAATAAATTTTATTGCTTTTTATCTTATTCGTTTTTTTTTATTGACCGTTGATATCCACCGGGTCCACGGCGCCAAAAGCCTAACTAACTAACTCCAAACTAAAATAACAAATAAAATGTTACCTTTGATAAACCGTAAGCACGTGAAGGAGCGACAAGGACAAAAAAGTGTCTACTCCTTTATATCATTAAAATAAGGCCATATTAGCAGGACCAGAGGGGGGATCAAGTGGTTAGATGCTCACTTCAATTACTATTGCAAAATGAATACCACGCTATCTAAATCAGTCTCGTTTTAAACTTCGCGATTAACAATATGCATGCGCAAATGCAATTGATTACTGATAACATAAGAATTGGCCACTATTTAAAAAAGCAACGGATCTAAAATAAAACCCTCGTTTAGTGGCATGGAAAATCTTTATTGAAGTAAATATATTTATAAAGTCAGTACAATTTAAGTTCAATAGTTTCCAAAAATATTAAAGTGCAGGTTGCTGATCACCTGGCAATGTTAAATATGATTATTTCTTAATTAAAATACAAGCTAATATTGAGAAAACTGTAATATGTGAATAATAACATGTATATACCTAAATAAAATCATGACAAAAATATATTTTAGGCAGGCTCTGAGTTACACTGCTCTGTGCTGTTGTTATCCTGGCCACAGTTCACGATGATAATTTATAATTATTAAGAAACCGCCGCTCAGGTCACATGAAAACCTGCACTCGCCATAAAAACAATTGAATGAGTGCAAACAAAGTGTCCAATTCTCAAGTAACTTCAGCGGCGAACGAATTTGGTCAAAATAAGATGTGCAACTAGTTAAAACAAAAAACTACCCCTGTCCACAACTAAATCTAGAAACTATTCTCCACGGTGGATAATAACATGACCCTATTATTAAAACTCAATTCCTCCACAGCTTCTGAATCGTGGACAGATATAACCAGTTGGGCATCTTAATTTTATAATAAAAATTAAAACATCAAGTTACAAACCACGCAATGTATATTCATGTATACAATAATATTACTAAGTGTATGTATGTATATAATGTAAATACATTTTCATGAAAAACAAAATAATATCATGGAATATTCAAAGAGCCAAAATATTGAGATTAACTCTACCTTGATACCATTAACTTCTAAGATCTAGGCACAATGCAGCAAGAGACTCCTGTATGGTAATACAATAACAATTTTCGTTGACTGTGGGGCAACATATTACATCTCGTTCAGTCAACACCACCACACAAGGTGTACTGAAGACATTATCCCAACTGCGGCTATTGTGTCGTGAATCATACGTTAAGAGAAAGATATGTGAAGGAGAATGTGGCCCGACACTGATAAAGCTTTAATTGGTGGGTATTGCAAGCAGTATAGAATAATGATTAGCGAGCCAGTGCTACACCCATGTGCTGATGCTGCTGGCCCCTGCAGCCACCAGGCCGCGGCTGCCGAGAAGGCAAACAACTACATCTAATAAAACTTCAACCTTTACAATGTCTTCAAATCTTCACGGAGGGTATTGTCTGTTAGATATAATTTCGAATCGCCGAAGTCCACGATCACTATTAAACACATCGACGTGGACTACCTACTAGATTTAAAATACTTTTAACAGAATTAAATTATTGAGCAATATATTCTTAAAAGAATATAGTAGAGATTTGCTCGGCTGCACCAACTCTACGGAAAAAATCTTGTTAATCCTAGTATCAAATACCAATGCACACTCCACAAATGTCATTTTCGTATCGTGAGAAATTATAATCATACATTAAGGAATAAAAGAAATCTTTGGATTAAAATTAAAATATGCATTTCAATCATGCACCCCTCACACAATGTATACAATAATTTTTACATTTCTACCAACATAAAACTGACGAGAAACTTAAATGGTGTAACTTAGGATATACTTAAATCTAATTTGAAAACAAAAAGCCATTTTAATATAAACTAAACATTGAGAAAAATACGGGAGTTGCAGACAATTTCTATAAAATCAAATTGATTCGGTATGATATGTTTTGTTATATACTGAATAATTTGCGAGATGAGAAACATCTAAATGGCCGCTCATGTGCAAAAAAATTATGCTTATAGTTATAGAATCAATTATAAAATAAGATCACTACAATACGTAAATACCAAGAATTGTATATTAAAATATTTGTACTTTTACTGACTAAAGGAAAAAACATTGGCAACTGCTAATAATCCTAAAATTGTAAAAAAAAAATAACTTGTATAATGTAGACTGAAAACGGTCATCTCAAATTCGTTCACTCTAAATGTGGAATGCAATTAGAATTCTTTAACAATATTAAAAGGTATAATAATATATTAAATTTTTATATCAGCTCAACAATGTATATAATCTATAATAATTTAAAAGCCTAGATCCAAACTGTGATATTTATTGCACAAGCACACATGTGGCTTAAAATTTCAATGCGAATAGAGTTCACAACCTTATTATTATTTATGTTGTTACATAACAGTGGAAACTGACGAGGTGGGGGTTAAGAAATTAAGTAATCATCTTCAGTCATTTGAGCATTCTGTCTTTATCGTTTCTACTACGTTAATGGAATATTTCGAGATAGTAATAATGTTTATAGTATTCCCACCCACTATGTTACGGTTTGTTAGTCATTGAAAATAAAATGTTAATGCCACAACACGTCGCCGGAACCATCTAGCTGTGCTTGGTGCCACAACATAGGCAATAGCCCACCTCCAATAGGGAGGGTAACATTAGAGCTCACCTTGTGCGCTGCGAACCCTACATCATCACAATACCTGGCACCGACTTTGCACACATCCTTGACAATAGCCTCCTGACCGATCAACCACACATCTCATAAAACACTCATCATAAATGTCAAGGATGTCGCGATTGTCAGCGCCATTTAATGTGATACTACACTACAGAAGTAATTTATTGCTGGATACATAAGGGAATATAGATTCAAGAGAAATATATTTACCAAAAAATTGCTTTAAGTGTATATAGGTAACTTTTAAGATTTTCGAGAAAGGCTACTGTAATGTACTCTAATGATACAATTATTATCGAGTAATGTCAATGGACAATAGATACCATTTGACCTGCCATTATCCCATGACAAAGTGCTTACTTCTACGGCAAGAATATACAGCCAAACAGACATGGCGAATATCCGCCTTTGCCCGCACCAACCACTAATAAACATCTCTAAACAACATCACCGTATAGGCAAACATGTGATACTGTTATGTTGTGTATATCCAATTGAAAACCTATCCACTACAAAATAATCTACATCAACCACTACACAAGATACTGGCAAGAACAAAGGAAACACTGTCGATGAGATGTCATCAATGGATACGAGTGAATAACATAAACAAGAATAATAATAATAATACTTTTAAAATATAAGACAGAATATTATCAATGTCATTGTAAACATTTGGAAAAATTACACATACTATATAATATGACATTTCAACTTTAAATTTATTAATATTGGAATTCACACATAAAATAGTATAATTTGTAAAATTATCCAAAACTTATCACACCACTTTTTAATATTTTTTGCAACCCTAAAGCAATAGTTATTAATAGCGTCAAACGCTCCCTTTGGGGCAATAATAATAAGGTCTATTTCGGTTAATTTTACTTCACTAACACACAATAATTTTGATCAATGACAACAAATTAAAATTGAACATTATAAATATTAAAACCCTGAATATTAATAATAAAACAAAAAAATTGGCAACAATTAGTAACTAATTTTTTTTACAAATATCATACAATAAAATAATTACTATGTGCATGCACAAATATCGTAAGAAAATAATTTGGCAGTAAAAATTCGTATCTCTAAAGGCCTAAACATACTGGCCAAAATACTATTCAAATATAGGCCCAGAACATATAATTAAACAAAACAGTAAAGTGACAAAATTAGAGTATTAATCACACCTACTCATTCACGAGGGTATGTAGACTCGTTATTTTAAATCTAGTTAAAATAAAGAAAAAATAAAATTCCCTAATGCTATCGGGACAAAAATCCTGAAACAAATAACTTAAAAACAATATGAAAAATAAACCCAAAAGTAACTCACTAATTAATAGAGGATTCAGACACAAATGTCAACTTATCACTGGCTCCGACAATCCCCTTAGCCCCAAATCGCCTTACCCAGGCAACTCGCGATCCGTAATCATCCTCCCAAATATTGAGTCATGTTAAGTCTTAAATTGTTGGTTCATTATGTCTCTCTATTATTGCTCATATCACATCAAATGTTGCTAATGTATCCAATATTGTAGAACTGTTCCAACAATAAAATAAATACCTATTACTAATTAAGTACAAACGTTATACATATTACTTCTGAATAACTACGACAATAATTATATTATTCATGATAATAATAATATAATTTAGTTTATAATCATTAATATGAATAGAGTGCCAGACTATTTAACTTTTCAAAGATTCCTGAAATATAAATGCTAATTTATATTTGAATGTATGTATAGTTACTCTTGTTATTTATTTATATTTTGGGATACTAAACATTTATATGTGTAATAATCAGCAAGGTGTATCCATAAAATTAGAGAGCAATTGGTTCGTTTAAATGAAAATTATAGATTTAATAAAATATCACACGTATTATTAGGTGGTCTGATTAAGTACCGAAGTATACTTTTAATGCAGTACAAAATAATGGTCATCTACAACACAGGAAACTATATATATATAATAAATTGAATTATAAATTACAATTTCGTTGGCTCGCGTTTGGCTAGTATTGATAATAAATATATAGAGTTAACTCGTTTTATGAAAATTCCAAAAATCTAGAATGATATTAAATGCTTCCTCTTTAGATAAATCCCAAAAACCTTAATTATTTGGAAGACTATGAATTCTCGAAATTACAATATTTTTAGTATAGGCGAAATTGTATGTGACCATTACTTGTGCATTGATTGATAATACTATTATTACTATATTTTATTAGTGTCTACTTGCCATATGTCACTATTCCCTCTTTTTAAGATTAATAATTATCGAAGAGGGATAAAGCCGCTGGTAAAGTGAAAATCTAAATATACTGAGGCAATTTGTGAATCGCAAATTTCTAATTTTCTCTACAATCTAAAAACTATTCAATTTTGAATATAAACGTGGGTAGTTACAAAAATATACATATACTTTGGCGAACTGTATAGGAATATCGGACATATAAATAAAAAATGCGAAAATAAGCAATTTCATATATATAGCCAAATGATATTATGCAAGTTATTGTCTCTAGAACGGAGATTGTGATGCGGTGGGTCAAAAGTATTAAAGCTACACATAAAATGTTCAAGCCAACCATGTCTTTATAGAACTGGTTTCTATTGCATGAGAAATTATAAGAAATACATTTTCAACCATCTTTTAACCAGATCATTATCACTCCCAAATCATGCGGCGTTCATTCATCATTCGCTATATATAAGAAAATGCTAGAAAATAGTATAAATTCTTTCATTTAACTATCAACATGACATTGTACAAATTATTGCAGTATTAATTTAAATCGGTTTTCCAATATTACAGCTCAGTGGTTCACCTAGTTAAATTTATAATGAACCAAACTTTAATATTTATATATCATAATGCCTACTCATGAAAAACCGTTCAATATTTTTAATAGGCTCTCAAAACAAGAGTACATGAAAACATTTTGTATAGACACAAGAATTCTGTAAATGGTAAATATATTTTAACGGACAATATATAATATTGTATACGAGATTAACCTAAACTAGATGGCACGTAATATTAGTGTCGCCTCCTTTGGTCACAACAAGACTAAAAATTTAGTTTACAACAAACTCAATTGTGCGTTCATGTCGATTAAGCAAATCCGAAATATGGTCACTTAGAAACACGGGAGTAAACTTTCAAAATAAAATTATTCAAGGCGACACTCCCACGCAGACCCCTAATTGACATATTCAACTTCACTCAAACTAGGAACCATACCAGCTGCTAAATTTAGACATGAAAATAACAGTCCAGTCACTGGTTACACAATAATTGTAATCGAATTTGGCTGTGTGGTTACCCTAAATATAGACATTGTTTATAGATTAACATTCTCCATTATAGTGTTATTAATATAGACAAAATATCATGAACATCCCATTATAAATTTGTTCACATGCAAAGATTACAATCTGATTATTAAATCTAGGAGCATGTCAAACTAACGAGGACTAGAAATTTTAGGACCCACTAAAACCAAACGAATCAAAACCATTTCTCTTGATTGGCTGGACAGTTAGTATATATAAATAAAAAAAAAGTTGACCATTACTCTAAACTTTGGATTTTTTGTTACTATAACTAAATGCAACCATATAAAAATTGAAGATGAATAAACCAAGAAATATATAAGTATTCAGTACTTTGGAAATAATGACTTACGAGTTCTATCCATAAGCAGTGACAGAATATTTCTCTAAAATGCCACAAAACAAAAAACATTAAGCATAGTAAATATTGGGATTACTAAATTCACTGCACATGGACAGAATATTAAAATCAGACTAACATGAAATTTAAAAACAAAAATAACGAAATAAGTAGTCAAATACTGGTTTAGCAAAAATGTTAAGCTTTGTAAAAACAGCAATTAAATATAAAATAGGGAATAAATGTGAGATCTTGTAGTATGCAGACTTACAGCCATCGAGTTACTCCTCAGACAATGTATAGGGTGTTGAGGACTAGAACATGATGATTATTCTTAGCCAGGGTGACAATATAACCTTCAGATGTTATCTTCAATCCGCAGCAGCGTGACACCTTTAAATTAATAAAAAACGATCCATTAATAACGTAATCTTTGCAATAAATATTAACAGCATTATCATTACTTTAAGACAACATAAATGCAGCGGTCGTGACTTGACAGCGCCGTTGAACAAGCGTGACACGACGTTGTAATTAAATTTAATACGTTCGTTATTATTTTTCAATATAAATGAAGGAAAAATAGCATATTCATTATATCGCACGTTGAGAACGATAGTGACACAATGCAAAAAATGCGATTTTGAGTAATGAGCGTTTAAAGTTCAAGAAATTGTAATCAGCCCCTCTAAACAACGTATCGTCACTATGCCACCTAGCAGTTTCTATGCAAGCTACGTTTACAGGGATCTTTGCATTTTAAAGTTTATACTTAACAAAGAAAAATGTTGTCAAAAGTAAAAAATACGTCGTTTTTAGTTAGTGACATTGTCATTTCGCAACGTGCGATATTGTTATCATTTAGGAATTTAGATACCACTTTCCATTTTCCACTTTGTGAGCATTATTTGGATTTGGATTACTATTATTGAGTAATCCAAATACTGCAAACAAGATAAAAGCCATCCCTTATACAAAATGAATGACATTTAAGATATAAAAAATATAAAATCACAAAATTATGTCTGGCAAAATGGATAATTGAAACAGAATTAAAGATCACCTTTACATATGGGCACTCAAACTCTGTGACCAATACGCCGTCGCGCGAGAACACGGCGACGTGAAACTTGTTGCCATGCGAGTCTCCGATGAGAACGTCTCCGGCATCAGACACGTCGATGCCATTAGGGAAATTGGTCACATTTTCACATCCAATACGACGCAAGAATCGGCCCTCGTCGTCGAACACAACGACGCAATGTCCTTTGAAGTCGCATACGTAAAATTCTTTGCCTGTAAGACAAGTTATTTTGGTTGAAAAAAAAATTTCGGAAACAATAATAATCAATCGCAAGTAAGATTGAACACATACCACTGATAGCAATATCAGATGGCTCCCTCATGCACTCGCTACAGTCAAACCAGCTCATGAGGTCACCTTCCTCAGATAAGATGAATACAGTTGGTGTAACGCTGTCCACGGCCACAATAAGCCCTTCAGCAGTCACCGCTAGACCGGCAACAATATCAATAAAGCGAACCTACAAAAAATAATTTTTCATCAAATCGTCCACGTTTAGTTACAACTTGGTTATAAATGTTTTATTATCAATAAACATACAGCAATCTTCTTTAGGAAATGTCCATTTTTAGTGAATATTTGCATGCGAGACCTCTCGTTTCCACGGTCGCAAACTACAAATTTCCCTGTAGCGCGCACCACAGCTACTTTACGCGGATACCACAGCTGTCCCTCTTCTTTTCCAGCTACGCCAAAGTTGAATTTGTAATTGCCGGACTTATCAAATACCTGAAAATAGAAAACAATAAGTTAGTATACTAGTTTTAACTCAATATAATATTTCTATAACTAGAGCGAAATTACCGTGATGCGATGGTTATTGGTATCTGCAACGATGATATCCTCATCATTGCCCAGGCAGAAGCCATGTGGAGAATTGAATTGTCCTTTCCCACCTCCAAGTTGTCCAAACTTGAACCTAATATGCATGGGCGTTGCTTTAGTAGCACGGACTAAGGGCGCAGGTGGTGCGACAAGTGCAGCTTCTTCAGCAGCAGTTAAAAGTGGTCTACCAGGAGATACTCCACGTGGGCCTACACCGCCGATTCCACCAACACCGGCGACTCCACCAAAACCGTTAACTTCTGAAAATTTTGACACTATTAGATTACGAACATCAAACAAATATAATTATTACTGTCGATAACAGATGTACTTGCCAGTATTTAGTCCGAGTTTGGCCAGAGCTTGTAAGTTATTGTAAGCCTGGGGCGAATTCAGATCACCAGCAAGCAATTCCGCGAGAGTAAAAGTAGGAGCTGGGGAAGCGTGTGGGGGCGGAGGCACCTCCTTTTCAGCAATGCTTGCCAATTGCTGCAAATTATATTCTACCATAGATGGGAGAGCAGGAACTCCACCAACACCAGTGACACCACCTACACCAGGGACACTGTTGACGCTGACTACACCTGGTATCACGCTCGTGTTTGTCACTGCACCGACTCCTGGGACGGCACCCACTCCTGGCACTCCAATAGAAGGTACACCACCTACACCTGGTACCCCGACTATGTTAGCCACTCCAGTTACGCCAGTTACGCGACGAACATTGGGCATAGGATAATCATCAAACACTGGTGCATTAGTTACTGACACAGCAGGGGAATGAGAATTAGAGGCAACCGAGACAATCGCAGAGGACTCACTTGCGCGCTTCCTTTCTTCTGCGCGAGTAGCTTCTGTTCGGAATGTTCCGAAAGTTTCCTCAGTGATCGCATCAAACTTTTCCATTTTGGTGACAAACTCCAATGAATAGTCTACATCGAATTCTGGTGCTGCTTCCAACAAGCGTGTAAATTGTGATGCAACTGTTTTCTTTAACATGACAATTTCAGTGCCATCGCCGCGACGAAGAAGTCTTGTTGCAAATTTACAAGCACAATCAATGCGTTGTACAGTCTTATCGACGCGATCAAACAAATCCATAACTTTCAGTTCTCTTTCCTTGTGCAGGCGTTCGAGTTCTTCAAGAGCCTTTTCCCGACGTCTCTCCAAAGCAGCTTTGTAAGCATGGAACGCCTCATTAATGACATTTTCAGCTTCATCACGTTGGCGCTGTAAATCTCCAAGTGCATCATCTAGCCTTGCAGAAGCACTTCCAGCAGCTACAGCTCGGGTATTCGCTTCCACTATAAAATTACGAAGCTCCGCACGCAGATTTGGTTCAGCATCAACAATCCGCTCACAGCGATGTTCACCTACTTTATGATCCACAGTTAGGCATTCAGTGCAAGCACCAACTTCACACTCACAGCAATAGAACTTTAAACTTTCTCCAACATGGCGGATACAGAAAATCGGTTTGTGCACAGCGGTTTTTTCCTTAGAAGATCTTAGGGCATCAAATGGAACAACCCTGTGATTTTCAAAGCATCTCATGAATTCATGTGCTGAATTACAGTTGGAACAGAGGAAATGAGAGCAATCGGTACATCTAGCAACAGCAGGTTCCTTGCTCTTGCAACAAGTGCATACCACAGATTGATCCATAGCCGATACATCCAGAATGTTTGTGATGAGATAATCAGAAGGAAGTGACGCAGCCCCACCTCCAAGTATCTACAAAAAGAGAAAACGCTTCATGAAATTCCATTTAAAATTATTAAATCACCACCTCAAGTGTCTAGAAGGCACAAAGAGACCTGAGAACTTGACATGTTACAGGCATTGAAGAACATAAAAGACCTCTCGTTTTATTAAAATAATGAATAGACACAGTAGATTACACAATATTATATTTATAATTTAAGTACATAAAATGTCCTTAAATAAATAATTTAATATTACATTAATTATTTGCAACACTACAAAATTATCACTTTATTGCATTTACCTTTGTTTCTTGTTTGCACAAGGGACACTCCACAGCCAAATCATATTTCAAAGAATCTCCAGCTTCATTAACCATCAATTTGTCAATGCAAGCTTCACAGAATACATGAAGGCAAGACAATACTCGAGGGCTGCACAATTTATCACTGTAAATCAAATATGTTTTATGTGTATATATGTGCTAATAATTAAATACTAATAAGTAATCATGACACATAAATTAATCTTGTAACAAGTTGCAGGTTTAACCCTTAGCACCACTCGTGGGGGACCTAGGTCCCCCAGCGCTCTGTTTTTTACAAATTATACAAATATTTTGAACGCGACGCGGTCGCGGTTTCGAGTATTCCCAGTGACTCCCGAAAGCTGTTGGTGTGCAAACGTACGTCGTGCTAGCGTTGGAAGTTTGTGAGGCACGTGTTGTTGCGGGACCTAGGTCCCCCATGAGTGTAGTTACGTAAGTATTTAATGTTGATAATAATCTTTTATATCTACATTTTTGGGTTTTTGGTGCAGTATGAGTAAGAATTTAAATGCCCAGCAGATAGAAAGGCTATTAAATGACGTCAGTATAACTGTAATGACGTATAACAATGGACCAAACCAAAACCAAAAAACCCGAGATTGTTACAATTCTACCAAAGGTGGCGTAGATGCTTTAGACCAGAAGTGTGCTGCTTACTCTGTGAACCAGAGAAGTCAAACATGGCCGACCACAATATTTTGCCCAGTATTTCCGGAGTAAACAGTCATGTCCTTTACGGCGCATCTAATCCTCACAAAAGCAAGAGTCGTTATAAGTTTTTAGAAGAACTTGGGTATACTTTAGTAACTCCTCATGTTCAAGAAAGAAGACGCTCTTCTAACCTTTCGAGGGAGCTGAAAGATATGATGGATAGGTTCCTACAAGAGGTTGGTGTTGATGTAGCTGAAGATCAACCAAAACAAGACCCGAGCCAAAGCAAGGGGCTAAAAAATCTAGGTGTCATTTGTGTCCACGAAGCAAAGACAGTAATACTCCAAGGGTGTGTTTGAAATGTGTGAAAAATGTTTGTCGGAACCACTCTGTTGATGTAAAAATATGTACTAAATGTGAGTCATAAGTTTTAAGTACGTTATAATCAAATTTTTGAGAGTAATTTAATGAGACTGATAATATGTTAACAGATTAAGGTAAATTTTTTTTTTGTAAACTAAGTCGAATATTCTCCTTGTGATTATGCATGTTTTAAAATTTATTCAAGATTTTATGACAGTTTTGGTTAAAAAGTAATATAGGTTATTAGAAAAAAAAATTTTTTGTTCCAAAGCATTTTTTATTTATTTATATTGAGTCAGTAAAATAGACCCCATGAATATGACGAGATTTTTCGTAGTTTTTTTATTTCACACTAGAAATATTAATTATGATTATGAAACCTAAATAAAAGTGTTTATTTTCATAGAATATATGTTTTTTATTTATGTTATAAATATAAATCCTAAAATATCCTATATTTTACTACTTGAATAATAACCATAAAAAGTGGGGACATAGCTCCCCCACGAGTGTAGATATGTAGGCTGAAAATACCGAGTGGTGTTAAGGGTTAAGGCCAGATTGTAGGTAAGGTATACAGTGTATTTGCATACTTTGAATCTAGGTATTAAATTCATGTATGGACACATAACTGACGAGTTACTAGGAACATTCAATTTTGATAAAAAGGTGCTAAAATATAGCTACAATAAAACTTATACAAAAAGGCAAATATTGTAAAACATCCCTTTATCTTTCATACAATGAATAGTCTTAAATTCAAAGTTTCTTTGCTACCTATTATTGTTTATACCTACCATTTATAAATATATATTATTAAAAATTTAATTTTAAAAACTCACTCGCAAATTTTACAATTTTGATCTTGCTTTCCATTGTCTGTAGATTCCAAGGATCCCTCATCCCCTAAACTAACTAAACCATCCCCATAAAGCTCCCCATTAATTTCTTCCATTTTAACTTATAATTATTTTTGTGTATAATGTATATTCTTGACCTTAACCAACAAGAATCTGAAACAAGAATACATTTTAATAAGTAGTGTTAACCTACAGTCCTATTGGAACACAGTAATTTACATTTTTTATAAAGGAGACAAAGCATATTGTTGTACAATATAATATTATAATACTTAGAATACTAAACAACAACTGTTGTATTTGATATAAATACATTAGCATTTAATAAAAGAGCTCTTTGGTGTTTTAATGTTACTTAGTGGCATGATAACAGACTCCTTTGTTTCTTCAAATAATTATATGTAACAAGAAATTAACAACAGGATAACTAACTATACCACTATTATATTTTCGAATAATGAATTTAACTATTTTTAGGTCACTTATTAAAAATATACAATATGAATCCCTTTTTCCATAACTTATACTTTTTAAGATATTTTACAGCTAAGTAATCATTTTTTTTTATAGACCTGTTGGGTTTTCAATCTAAAGCTACAGAATTATTTATGTATTTAGATTTTTTCCAGTGCTTTCGTATATGATAAACTATCATAATCACCAGCCTATTAACATCGCCACTGCTGGGGTTTAGGTCTTCCCTATAGATGAATTGAATCGAATGTGGACCATGACCACGAATGCGGATTGATGGGTATTAACGACTGCAGATGCAGCCAGGACCAACGGCTTAACACGCCTTCCGAAGCATGGAGAAGTTCGAGATAATAAATATTTGGTCACCTATCCTATCACCAATGTTAAAGTTACTCAACAACAGTATCACAGGCCGAGCACGCTAGACACTGCGCCATCAAGCTCCAATAAATATAATTATAAACTGTACTTCAAAATTACAGGTTTCATAAAATATTAACAAATAAGTATTTGACATCTTCAAAAATAGGCTATTTATATATCACCCACCCAAGCACCGCCTGATAACGTCCAATTTTTTTGAAAACTACAGTGCTAAAACCCACCCAAACCACCATTGAAATCACGATCCTTTGTTCTTATTCGTTTATCTATTTTGGTCATTTCTGGTCATTCTATTTTAGTTTTTACCACACCAGCTTTCAAAATCAGCAGGCAATATTTATGCAAAAACTTGATTTTTCCAATTGAACTCCCAAAAGAGGCCGCCATAAATTTATATCGGTAATTATAATACGTTATTGGTCAGTTCAGGTCACTGACTTAAACATTGTATATTAGGGTTAATTCAATCGACTCCGTAGTTTCAGGGGAAATCGGCTATGACAAACAAACATGCAAAAGGTTCCAAATTTATGATACGAAGTCCTAAGAAAATCGATCTTTTTATCGCGCTGCAATACTATCACAAATAAATATATTTCTTTTATCAACTCTACGCCTGCAATACGGAACTGCTCAGAGTTCAAGTATTTATGCGCTATCGACACGCGAAGTCCGATTTAAGGAATATTATAAATATTTTATAAGGTTTCATAAAAAAAACTTTTTGATCGTTATATCTCAAAAACGATTGCTTTTTGGAAAAAAAGTATTAAATCCTTTTTGTAGGTAATTACATACCAGACTTGCGATTCTGTAAAAATCCGAACTTGAATTCGAATTCAATCAGGTGTCCGGATTCACTTCAAAAAGTGGCATCCGTTCAATCTTGAATTGGTAATAACGTTTCGTGGCATAAGTGATGTGAGTTTAGAAATGACATAGAAATAGAATATCTGAGACAGGTATAATCAATCAATTTTGTTTCGTATGTTTATACTAAAAATGGAATTAAGAGAATGATGTGAATTTGGACACATGTGAATTCGAATTCTGATTTGGATTTATATAGAATCGTCCTACTGATCTATAACTTTTTTGTTCTGGGATGCTTTTTTGTGAGAAAAGCTTAGGTTTGCTGAAAATCAAGTAATTTTTTTCCGGTCGAATTATCGGGTCAGATCGATGAGGACTTTTTAGATGTCATTTATGATGGTATTTTGAACAATCCTACCAATTTTCAAATGAGTGGGAATTTTTGGAACCTCGGAAATTGACCATTTACACAGTCAGACATGGCGAATTTATAAATTTTCCGTTGTTTACCATTAAAAACAACCGGCTAAATGCGAGTCAGACCCGCGCACAAAGAGTCTATATAAAATATCTTTATTCAAATAAACGTATACAAAGTACTTTTGAATCGTCCAACATTTTTTCTTGCCACTTGTTCAGGACGTATTTTTGGCTGATGAGAAGAACGAGCAAAGAAACCTAGCAGCTACAATTACTATTAATTAATATTATCTATGAAAAAACGGCCAAAAATTAGCGTTTGTTATATGGTAGTCTTATTATTTATTTATTTATTTTTTTGTTTTAGCGGCAACAGACAAATTATTTGTGAAAATTTCAACTGTATCATGGTTGGTATCAGTTGAAGCCTGTAGGCCAAATCTGCTAATGTTTAAGTAATAATCGCATCTCGAAAAATCTCAACTCTTACTTGCATTTTACCATTGTACTATGTACCTAAAGTCCTAAAGAAATTAAATTAAGAGGAAGGTTGGAATATCTTAGTGTGCCTGATAGCAAGGCTTATAGCAGGCCATTTACATGTCAAAAATTGTGACTAAATAGTGACACATATACAATGAACTTTCATTTCACTTACTTCAATAAAATTTGAGATATTTCTAATTATTGGTGTGCCTGTTATCTTGACGCTTAAAGCAACGGCTTAATAAAGAAATTTGAAGCTAATGAATTCACAAAACAAATGTGACTGAAATTGTGATTCTCATGATACATATAAACCCAAAGATTTCTTCTTATTAGTCTTTAAAACTAAAAAATTACATGTCACTAAATGTTTATGGATGCTTGCGATGAATCTTAAACATTGTTGTGCTGCAATTGTGCTGCATAAATGTATTTATAGTGATGTGGTGAATACCATCGAGTCAATAAGTGTTAATATAAATCAGTCTTAATTTTTTGTGTAAGACAATTTTTCGTAATTGTAAGTCTCATATTTTAAAAATATTTAAAAATGAGTTTAACTAAATCATAGTTACGTAATATCAAAGATAATTAACGATATCGCTAATTTAACTATAATGAAGCCTTAAACGTAAATATTTACTATAAGGTTGTCTCGAAGAGATGACTTTTAGTGATAAGACTGCCAATTGAACGTCTCCTGTTTTCGTCATATAAGTGTATTTTGTCTTTGTGTGTACAATAAAGAATATTCTATCTATCTATAAGTTTAAGTTGCAAAGTTTTTATTTCTTGATCGTTGAAACCACACCAATTTTGTTCCAACAGCCGTTACGACTTTAAATTTTAAAATTAGGTACTCAATTAAGCCCCTGTGATTTTCTGATTTGACATTTGAAAAATATTTACGAACTTAATATACTATTTACCATGTGATAGTAATTGCGATTACGACGGTTTTTATGAAGAATATAGAAAGAATGATATGGTTAATTTAATGTTAATTGGAATTGTCTTAGCAAAGGGAAAACGCTTCAAAGCTATTTAGAAATGTAAAACGAAATAGTTAATGATCATTCAAATTGTCATTCCAATAGCGATTGCGAAAAGTTATGCAGTTTCATGAATCGCTAAGCCTTTGAAAGGGATTGTGATAGCTATTAAAATTAGACTTAGCCCCCTAACAAATGAGGAAGTATTTAAAAAAAAATCAAAACATTAGTTCCCGAAATCAAACGAGATGTCGCTACGGTACTATTTTGATGTCTCCATGACAACCCTTCCGGTTTTCTTTCATGTATAAAAGTAAATTAACTGTCAAACTCATATTTCTATTTGTCCCTTACTTTGCAAATTTCAGTTTTTTAATATGTTAGTTAAAAGGAATGGAAATAACTATCTTTAATTCATTTGTTTCCTGCAAAAATGAACTTTTGCTCGAGTCGCCATCTAATATAGTGAGGTGCTTTTTAGTGCTTTCTTTTTTTTTTCTTTAAATACTTCTTCATTGCCTCACTTATACAGGGCCGGATCTGGAGAGGGGGAGCAGGTGGGCGTAGTGCCACGGGCGCCTGCATTAGGGACCAAAATCATCATCAAACAACAAAATAATAAAATTCACTAAATAAATTCATAGATATAGGCTACAATGGGACAGAAATCTTTTTAAAGTCACTAAATTAAATAAAAAAATATGTGTGCAGGGGGGTGTAAGGGTGCAATATCAAGTTCCTGCCCCAGTTATAAAAAGTTGCAGATCTGCACCAGTTTATTATCTTACAAACTCCCAATTACAGTGATGAATATTGAAATATCTATAAAATCAAATCTTAACAAGGTTGAAGAAGGACTTCTTAGTATCAAATAAGAAAAGTGTCTCACATGTCCACTAAGGTCACAGGTGCACTAAGTAGGTTTCACTGTATAGTGCAGTGGTTCCTTATCTGGGTGTAATTAGGTAAATCAGCTATTGCAAGTAATAAAGATCATAAACATTAAGACTAAAATTAATATAAGAACATTTAAACCATCTCCTGAAAAATGATATATGATATGCTTTAAGCAAAACTAAACCTTACATTCAAATCTGGTGAATGCTGAATCATCACTGAGTATAAACATTTCTATATATTTAAGTTAGGTATTTGCTTGTTATATTTAAATTAAATACAAGCATTCTAAGGATGGAGTACAATCAGTTTCAGGAAAACAATAATGAAAAGGTTAAGAGCCACTGGTTTATTATTATAACATAATAATTACTACCTGTACAAATCAACATGACACCTGAAAGATTATTCTATTCCTAGTCTATTTTCAAAATACCAAGAAATTAATTTTTCATTAATTTATGATTCAATTCAGATCTGACACTGATGAATCTTCATGGATATGATTATAACAAAATAATAACTTTCTAAATTAGTTCAAGGATAAATAGAATAGACCCTCAGGTGTCATATTAATTCAGACCAGTTATACTAGAATATCTATGTATTCATCAACTACACTTAAAAACCACTATAGTCTATGATAATTAAAGCCTATGATGGGAGAAGTAATCCCATTTCAAAAATCACTTACTTAAAGAATTTCAGTGTTAACTTCATAAGATTAAAGAAGTTAACTTCCTCCACAACTACTTATACCAATTGGTATTATGAAACGAGACAGCAGCTCTTGTAAGATGAACAGTTTTATTTTAAATGAAGACCTTATTTGAATCATAATTTCACAGAATGGGAACCAAATACCATTAATCTTTGCCCTTAATATAAGTATAGAAATGCTAAATGAGGTTCCAATAACTGATTAAACTATACTTTACAAAAAGACTTACATCAAACAAACTTTTATGCAGAGAAGCCTAAAAATTAACCTTCTATAGGTTCCATGAAGACCTGACGAGGAAATTTAATAACTTTTAGCTATAAAAAATACTCTATCCCAAAAGATAGCAACTTAAGGATCCAGGAAGGTACTAATAGTATAAGAAAAAATATTATAATTAACCCGTCTCGCGATTTTTTGAACACACAGGTGTGCAAACGCTTCAAGTGCGTTTTGTGACTTAATCGCGTGACGGGTTAAATTCATATATGTAAAACTTCTTGATAAATAAATAAAATAAAGTACAATCTACAATACAATTTAACTAAAAACAAGAAATACTTTTTTCTTTACAATATTTTACCAAAAACCCATTTTTCTCAAAACTGTCATCATGTGGGTTGGGTCTGGTTTGCATAACTAAGACCACTATCACAAACTATAAATTTACAAATCTGTTTCATTCATATGGATATAATAACTGTGTAACAAGTACAGACCACATCATGCTGCCTATACTGGCCAGTATTCTTTCTCTAAAAATAAATGCAGAAATAGATACCTACCTACTTAATACAGAGACTCACTAACTATTACAATGATTACCCATTATTAAAAAACTGTAAAACAGAAGCATGATGCCTTTCTTTTTTAAAAAATCTATTAATTCAAAGATGCATAGTTTGCAGTGAATAAGCAATCACTTGAAATTTGATTTTGAATACCTACCTTTGTGGAAAATGATTTTAAATGTTTACAAGATTAAAGAACATAATTTGTCGCCAAATAATTTTACATTTGTATGAAACCCTATGCATTGTAAAAACGATCGGAACACACTGTTCTATGAAAATCACCAATATATGTATATGAACTAGATGCGTACATACAGCGAAAACGCAATGCACCATGCAGACAATGGCGAAGGTCGATAGTCCAAATTATACATATTTTAGAAAAATATATATGAGTATCATGGTACATAGAAGTAAAAATTAATAATGATAAAGCATTTACTAACCTTCAACAGTAATAATTTGCAGCAAAAAACAGTTAATTGAACGCGCAGAATGTTCTACCACGCCGTAACTATGACAATACTCATCACTATGTAAATAAATAAAAAATGAGCATCAAATCTCAACAGCTTTTTTTAAATAAAAAATGTTTTCTTCGATGAAAATTAATATTTTGTCACGTTCTCATTTTAAAAAGACGAATACATTCACGGTGTATTGATTTTTCGAGTTCGTTAATAGTGCAGCCCCATAGAATCCAGTGACTCCATCGATCTGTTCAAATTGAATAAAATTTTATCGATATGATTTCTTAATTGAAATTGCCATTGCTAGTTTGAAAACATAGATGAGTCACTTATGAAACTACCAAACACCGCAGCTGAATTTAAGCTAAATTTACATTAGGTACGAAACTAAATTTACATTAGGTCATGATAAGGTACGAAATAGTTGATTTTGTAGTAATTAAATTATGCCTTGGGAATAAGTTGGTTTTGCAAACTAAAATACTAATTGAACTAACTAAGCGTCAGTCAAACTCAAATGCGCGAAAACGGATACTTTAGAACTTTATCTGGCAGCACACTGTATTTTTAGGGCAACCATAACTATAAAAATATACACTTGGTAATCATCCAATATAATAAGATTCAACACCAAACCGTACATCTTAAACGACGTCCAAATCAGAATACGAAATCGACAATTTTACGGCACTCTTGAATAAATGTTGTACTAGACACCTATAGCACGGTTACCTAAGTGAGGAATTCGATCGACGGGCATGCCCGTGGGCAACTCTGCAGGCAATGCCAGATCTCACTACTATAGGGTGGGCGTGGGTGGCAAGTGTAGGTCAGTCGCAGTCATTAGAAAAACCTAATAGGGTATTTGATACTTTTCCGAAAACTTCTTTAAATCATTGTATGATAAACACGCTTACAAAATATTTCTTGACAATTTGTTCTATTTTCGTTGTAAATAATTTAATAGCCAAAATCGCTCAAAAACGCTGCTCTATGTAATGGCGCTGATCTAGTGGTGTTTGTGACGTCACATGCAGTAAAATATTTCAAGGCAACATAAACTATTTATCAACGATTTATTTACGATGTAAACAAATAATACTACAAAAGAGAAATTGAAGTTAAATTATATGTTTTGTATTTATATCTATTCTGGTTTTGTTTATAAAAATGAGCTACAAATTGTATGTTTAAAAACCAATTATGCCTATTTTTAATAATATTGTTATGACATGACAGTTTCCCTGTTAACTTGTCCCTGACCTCACACGCTGGTAAACAGACCCTGTATTGGTTGCGATGACAATCAATCACGAGGCGTTTTGGTCGTTCATTTAAATTCATAAAAATGTTGCATTTTCATTACGTTATTTGAACTAAAGTTAGACATATTTTATCTGCAGATTCTGAGAAATAAATTTTGTCAGATAATTATCTAACAGGAAGACCACAAAATGCAACTTTAGTGTGAAGTACCCTATAGTAGAGAGATCCGGCGGATATGCCTGCATACTTGCACGCAGGTTACCGTCTTAGGGATGAAACGATACCACCTTGCTATCGATACTTTTACTCGATACTGAATTGGTCACGATGTATCGATACCTAGTTGGTATCGAAGAAAAGACCGTTTCCTACTTATGTCGAATAGTTTTAAAAGAATCATTTTCGTCGTCATTTTCATTGAAGTAAAGATACTATTGATAACCAATCGAAATATTTTGTTTGCGGTGGAAAGAGAAGCAGGTCCAGGCATAAAAAGTGATGCATATAATTATTCAAAATTTTGTTAGCAATGCCCTCTGTGGATAGATTTCTAACTTCATAAAATTAGTAAGGGGTTAGCAATGCTTCATCATACGACAGGGAAGCCGCGCATGTAGGACTTTTTCATGAGATAGACTTTAGACAACTTACAGAGTAAACAGTCTTACGCAAGCGAGTTTTTTACTCTCCTTAGTGAGTGATCGACCAAGTACCGACATAAATACTTACTTCACGATACTACTTGTTACTAAATGAGGAAGTATTTAAAAAAAACATTAGCTCCCGAAATTTCTCCATGACAACCCTTCTGGTGTTCTTTCATGTTTAAAAGTAAATTAGTTTTCAAAACTCAAAAAACAACTCATATTTTATTTTTACTTTTTCGTATTTGTATTGATATCTAAGTTTCAAACTTTTCAAATTACAGTTTTTTAATATGTTAGTTAAAAGGAACTGAAATAATTGGCTTTGGTTCATTCGTTTCCTGTAAAAATCAACTTTTGCTAGAGTCGCCATCTAGTGAAGGTGCTTTTTTAGTGCTTTCGTTTTTTTTAATCTGCGATTGAGGACGTTTAGTCACGATTGAAAAGGCCGGTAATAGGATAGGTGGTCAAATTTTTTTAGTGGAGCGATTTAGGACGACCGCGCATGCCCAGTACAGATTATTTGGTAGAGTGGTCATCCATCAAAAATACCAGTGTGTGCTCTAGCAGCCCCAATCCGCATTGGGACTTTTACGTGGGCCCAGTGTGGAATGTTGGATGGATTGGAATCATCGGTTAAGAATATATGTGCTTTAGCATCACTAATTCGTATTGGGATTTGTACGCGAGCCCAGTGCTAAATATGGGATGGATTTGAATAATACATTAAGAATATGTGCTTCAGCACCACCAGTTAGGAATGCTAGGTGGACTAATTTCATCCATTAATTATATCTGTTGTATTAATTATCGGCTCTCAACCTTATGGGTTCGGAACCACCCTCTCAACGGGGGAAGGAGGCGTTGAAACCTTCATTGGATACCACACAGCCGGCTGTATGGTTATGTCAGACTCCTACTGACTAAACACCGCCTTGGACAGTTGGTCGCGTGCCCTGAAGGGGCAATAACCTTCGACCGGAGCGACGTCACTATTCACTTACATGAATTGTGACATCGAGATGTTAGCCGTTAACCCCGGGGGGCTCAGCTCATCGGATTGAAATACAGCTGACTCCCTGAAGGGGAACGATCAGTCAGATCGTTCTCCGATGGGCGAGAGGGGAAGAAGAGGAAGGCGGCACATAGTCCGCGGCAGAACGAATGAGGGGATTGGGGTGATCCTCTGCCGCTTTGAAGAACGGTTCAGAGGCTTTGATACACTACTGTTGAATGGTGGGAAGATCGAGGTCCCTATATAGATCCACATTGCGGATGTAGTAAGGGGCGTTTGCCGCTCGGCGGTAAAAGAGATTTTGCACTATTTGGAATTTGTAGAGGACTTTGGGGTCGGCATGGGCGAATATGGTAGAGGCGTACGTCATCACCGGACGTATGCAGACCTTGTAAAGCTTTCGCTTATTACGAAGGGACATTTTACTATGTCGGCCCAGCATAGGGCTGAGTCGAAATAGAAAACGTCGGGCTGTTTGTGTGATTCTATTGACGTGAGGAACAAAGGAGAGCCTTTGATCGAGCGTCACGCCGAGATATTTGGAGGACTTTTGCCAGGGAATGCGTTTACCTAGCATTCTAGGCGGGGGGTGTTTGGGGAGGAGGCGACGTCGCTTAGCGTCGAAGCAAATGGCGGAAGATTTTTCCGGGTTCACTTCGATTCGCCATTTGCGAAACCAATCGCTTAAGGCATGAATGGAAGAGTAAAGCCTGGGAAGGATATTGGGTAGGCATGAGCCCCGGTAATACAGAGCCGTATCGTCCGCGAAGAGGGAGAGTTCCACTCCCTTAAGGGGAATAATGTCGTTTGATTACACTATGTATAGGAGGGGCGCAAGTACTGAGCCTTGCGGGACCCCCGCGGTGATGGCGCGAGGGGAAGAGAGGGTACCTTCGTTTCTGAAACGAAAGGTTCGGTGTTCTAGGAAAGAAGCTACCAGACGAACCAGTCGTAAGGATTGGTTCAGTCTGTGTAGCTTGACGATGAGAGCTGCGTGCCAAACCTTATCGAAAGCTTTGGCAACATCGAAAAAGACTGCTAAAGTCTTTTGTTTGCGAGGGAAGAAACCGCTGGAGATGTACTCCACTATGCGGTGAACCTGTTGGGGACAGGAGTGTTTGGCTCTAAAGTCATATTGGTGGGGGATCATGAGATCCAGTTCGAGATCAAAGAGGTGTTCCCTCATGCGGGAGAGTATACACCTCTCCAAGAGTTTCCCTAAGGCCTTTAGGAGGCTGATGGGGTGGTGGCTGGAGGGGAGGTTGGGGGGTTTCCCCGGTGTGGGGATACCTATTACGATTGCATCCTTCCACGCGGTTGGAAAGTAACAGAGATCGAAACAGGCATTGAAAATGAGAGTGATGAGAGTAATGACCTCTGAAGGGAAGAACTTCAGGGCCATATTGGAGATGCCATCGGCACCTGGGGATTTTTTGGGTTTGAGATTTTTGATGAGATCTACGATCTCATCAGAAGAAACGGGTGAGGGGTAGAGGGAGGGAGTACATTGCTGATAACTCCTCCTCTACCGCCCGTATGTGATCTTGGTCACTGATTGAGCATTGCGTGGCCACGCTGTCAGCGAAACACTCCGCCTTTTCATCGTCCTCGAAGGCTGTGGTGCCATCGGGACGAAGAAGAGGAGGAGTGTGAGTGACCGCGTCGGCACGCAAGGATCTGGCGACCATGGAGTATGCCAAGTGAAAGGGAGTGATATCCGCCATTAAATTGGCGAAGCTATTGTCTCTGAACTCTTTGAGTTCAGTGGTGTACCTACGTTGGAGGCGGTTGGCTACGGCTCTGTATTCCGGAGTGGGGTATTTGGCTGCTCTCCGAAAAGCTGCGTCTTTGGCCCTTCTGAGGTTCCGCAGATCCGGAGGAATGACATTGTGATGTTTCACAGGTACCTCCCTCGCGTTATCCGCTATAGCCTTTTGGACCGTGTGGATAAGGTTGTCCACCGCACTAGCTATTTTCGCCGTACTATCGAAGTAGTCGGGTCCAGTAGTGTGCGGTGAATTTTGATTGACCATAGCCGCTGAAAGAGACGGTCTATAACCCTCCCAATCAGTGACCGTCTTGATAGAGGGGCGGGGGTGGTTAGGGTTCCCTAAGACTAGGGAGACCGGGCGATGATCGGAGCCTAAATCATCGAGCGAATCGATTGATTTAAGTCGAAGAGAGACACCTTTTATTAGCACAAAGTCTAATATGTCGAGGTCGTGGTCGAGGACATAAGGATTGTGAGTGGGCAAGTACGGGATGATGATGTCTAACTCGAGGGCTTTGAGTATATTTTTCAATACTCTGCCGTGCCGATTAGTTTTTAAGCACGACCAATCGGTGTGCTTAGAGTTTAAGTAGCCAAAAAGAACTACTGAATCTTCTAGAGTTTGGAGCGCTTCGAAGTCACTTTGAATGGGCAGCGAGCCGGCCTCTATATAGACTGAGGCTATGATGAGGGTAGAATGACCCGTCATACACAATCTACATACAGTGGCTTGCATATTGACGAGAGGGGGGGTGGGGAGCGGAGAGCAATGGAGTGCCCTCTTATAGTAGATAGCGGTACCGCCGCTTATCGTGTATGGGCTTATCGTTACGCAAGAGAGCAAGAGAGCGTAAGATTGAATCGCGAGTCCGCCGCGGTTGGCGGGCTTAAGTTGGGTCTCTTATATTAAGAGAATGTCGGTGTTTTTATCGTGTGCGAGTTGCCTGAGTTCAGGTACTTTCGCTCGTAGTGAGTTGGCATTGAATGAAATAAGCGATACACCTACCGGCATAACACGCCCGGAGGAGGTCGCCACTACCGTATTCGGGGAACCTAACGTGCTATTCGTCCTTATGTTAGAGTACGTAATAGCGACTCGTGCTTGCATAGCGCCAGTATGCGTTCATGTGCGGACGAGGCTCGGCGGATCTTAGCCGCAAGAATGGATACTTCATCAATGTTGATTCCACGAATCGTGGCTAAAACCAGATTCATGTCGTCAGCCAAGGATGAAGGGGCGGGGTTGGGTGCGGGAGGCGAGGCGAATGCCCTTGGAGGGGGTTTTGCCTGCAGGGGTTTCGAGGGGGGGCACGCCGGTTTCGGTACGGGGGCGGGGGGAATGGTTTTCGCCCTAGGAAGGGCGGGGAAGTTTGCCATGGTAGGCGGAGGGGGTGTCAAAGGCACCTTTTGGACCGAAAGCAAAGAGCGGAATGCTCAGACGACCGGTCTATCGCATTTTGTAGAGATTTTACGTCTACCTTTATCGTTTTATTGATTTGACACTAGAGGTGGAAATAACTGCTTAAAATTTTTAAGTGTTATTACGTTTTACGATTTTTAATAAGCGTTTTTAAAAACTGCTTATTGCTTAAACTACGCAACGGATTTTGATGCGGTTGTTTTTTCATAGATAAGGTGAATCAAAAGGAAAGTTTTTATGTATAATACAAGATCACAATACTATTACCGTTTCTCGACATTTTATTTACAGTTCAATAATATTTAGAATGTTTTATATACACACCGTCACCTCAAAACAAAACTTAATTACTTTGTTTATTTAGGAATAAACAAAAGTCATTACTTAAGTAGCAATATATTTACGCATGCAATTCAACTTACGCAATTAATTAACATTCAACACAACGTGCACTTACTTCGACAACGAAAAGCGTACTGCTTTCTTAAGTATAAGTTCCGTTTAAAAAAGCGTTTGGATTACCAACCAAAAAAGTTGTTGTAAAAGTCTAGTTGGATATCACGCGTAATAGTATAATACAGTGAAATTATGTAAAGTCCTGCCCTCTTATAGAAAAATGCCGAAACAGAAAAATCGATTGAAGCTAGTAGTTATATCTTGATAGATGGCGGGACGTACAATAAGCATTAGCATACTTTTCTTCTAAGTGAAGAAGCGCTTTTGCACTATTTAGAAAAGCATGCTTAATTAAGTGCTTTTCGTTTAAACGTCCATCTCTAGTGGACACGACGAGACTGGAGCAGCAAGTCCACCAAAGAGTAATGTAATATAAAAAGTGAAGTCCACTCCTCTGCATCCGAGGATGAATCTTCTATATTATACGTACCTTTATATATATGATAGGTTGAAATATTTATGTTACCGTCTGCTATATTCTGTATCACTTTTTATTTTTTGTTTATAATTGTAATGTGTAATGTGATGGTCAATAAAAATACTTACTTACTTACTTACCTTTTACTGATAATTATTGATAACTATCCCGGTAGAAAAAATATACAAGTTAGTTTCAAGTCTGAGATTAGGTATACCTTCAACTATACTAATAATTAAGATACCCACTATACTACAATTATAATTTCTTCAAAATCATGGCAATGGATCTATGGAAACAATATTGGAAAATTACGCTCGAAACAAAGAGGCAATGATATAAAGAAGTGCAAAAGGAATTTCTTCCCAAACCGTGGTACCATACATTTACAGACAGCAACAGGCGATTCATAACAACTATAACAAGAATGTGAATGGGACATTGTCTAATACCAACACACCTACATAGACTCAAACTAATCTTCAATAGCAAATGTTCTCAATGCGATCAAGATAATGCCGATTTAGATCATCTTATACTCAGATGCCTTCATTTAATTTGCAACGGTTGGACGTGCTCGCGTCGCGGATGACATTACCGACGTTATCAATGACAGTACTATTTTGTTTCATTATTCAAATACCTTTTTAATATTATAAAAAATGTATAAGGGTGTAGGTAGCTATTTTCTAAATGTTAAATATTATAATATTATTATAAAATGTATTACTGAAGGATCGGTATCCATGGCTATGAATAAATGATTTAAAAAAAAAACTTGCATGCATAACATGACATTTGACGTTTGCAGAATTTACGTTCCAATAAATTTTTAATTGTTTGAAAGGGTTTTTGCTAAGTTTTGAACTCGATAATTTTGTAAATTATACATGTGTCATATTGAATATTAAAATCAATTTTGTTATATAATATGACGTTCATACCTAATTGGGAAGAATTTGAAAAGTCAGCTGAAATGTTGTATTTGAGAGATCCTCTGAATACACGATATTGCATAAAATATTCACATACCAAGGGAGTATTTTTGGTAAAAATTACAGATAATAAAAAGGTTCGTATTACATTAATAAATTGTCATGCCCTGTTTCCGCCGCTCCATACAACGAATATCCTATATATGGCGATTTAACAATTTCGTTAGTATTGTCTTGTATTAAATATTGAGACCACGATTAAATTATAAAACATGCAAGTAGAAATATTAGAAGTTCCATGGAATTTATCGCTAATAATTTTAATTACTTTATTAAGTGATTGATTGAATTGTTTAAGTTTGTAAGAAAATAGTATCTACTAACAAAGTAACAATTGAAATTAGACTATACTATTCTAATCGCATATTATTTTATTAGCTACTAGCTGACCCGACAGACTTCGTCCTGTCAAAAAGATTTCTAATGTGACAGTTTTTTTGTCTACGTATTTCTGTGCTCCAACGCACACACGCACATTGTTTTGATAGATATGATCTTTGACGTTAGGAACACACCTACATTGCTTAGACAACAGTGAGTGCTTGTAATTTAATATGAACTTTATACCATAGCAATAAAGCTCAAATTGACTACGTTTTAGTTACAAATCATTTGTATGGGAAAAAGAAAAGGGCTATTTTTAGGGTTTTTCCAGCAATAATTCTAATTTTTCTCGCCGTAAAAACCATCCTTGAACTTCAACGAACATTTTAAAAAAAGATTTGGCCAAATTGGTCGAGGCGTTGTTGAGTTATGCGCTTACCAACACATTTTGCGATTCATTTTTATATATATAGACTAGCTGACCCGACAGACTTCGTCCTGTCAAAAAGATTTGTAATGTGGCAGTTTTTTTGCCTACGTATTTAAAAAAATTCTCCTGAACATAACCGTCACCCTGGTGATAGGGCGTTGTGAATAAAAAATAATTAAATAAAACATATATAAGGATTTAAAAGTAAGTAATCGCTTTATTGTTAATCATGTGAATCATAATTATTATTGCAATGTATTAATAGTAATAGTATTAAATATAGAAAAAAGAGATTTTTATGATCATAAAAACACATTACACACAACAGCATTATAAAAGTAAACTATTCGAATTAAAAAAATATATAAACATTCTCAAGGAAAAATGCTGGAAGAATCCATCTACCTGTACCCCGGAATGGGACTCGAACCCATTCGCGATCCAGGGACTGCTCTAACCAATGAGCTATCTAGGACCCAACAGCTTTGCTACTACAGAGCGTATTTTCATCAATGTTCCGGCAATACATGTAATGACGTGGAAACTGATGCATTTTATCTCGCGTGCCGAAACTAATACAAAAGAAACGCGAGTTTCGGAACGCGACATTAAACTCCTCCAACTATGTATTCTGTGCTCCAACGCACACACGCACATTGTTTTGTGATAGATATGATCTTTGACGTTAGGAACACACCTACATTGCTTAGACAACAGTGAGTGCTTGTAATTTAATATGAACTTTATACCATAGCAATAAAGCTCAAATTGACTACGTTTTAGTTACAAATCATTTGTATGGGAAAAAGAAAAGGGCTATTTTTAGGGTTTTTCCAGCAATAATTCTAATTTTTCTCGCCGTAAAAACCATCCTTGAACTTCAACGAACATTTTAAAAAAAGATTTGGCCAAATTGGTCGAGGCGTTGTTGAGTTATGCGCTTACCAACACATTTTGCGATTCATTTTTATATATATAGATTATTTGACTGTCATAACAATATAATTTATATATATATCTTTTTGTATTACAGTGTCTCCAGTACAAAACAGAGGTTCAACAAGATGTTCGAAAAATAGATAAATTTATATCTAATTTGATACGGCATATGGCTTCAAATGATAACTAATAAAATTAAATAAGTTTTGTGATACTTCTTTTTTATTTGTATTCATTGAAAACCTTAATCAGTCACAATGAATTTGCACTGAAGAAAAAACTCTTTATTTTACAAAAAGAGTAGTTTTGCTTTTTCTAAACAAAACAGAGGAAGAGAAAAGAAGGAGGAGCTTCTCAATTCAACTGTATTTTTTTTCTGTTTGATACCTCATAATGTTTTACTGAGTGGACCGATTTTAATGATTCTTTCTTTATTTGAAAGATAGTGCTCGCTATGTGGTCCCATATTAATTTGGTCCAGATTAAACATCTATGAGAGAACCATACAAGTCTTAAATTTCCATTAAGTATGCGTGATGTTAGTTGCCTTAAATAAAACTTTTTACACGGTGGACTGATTTTAATGATTCTTTCATTATTTGAAAGCCAGTGCCCTTGGGACCCTTGGGACAAGTCCCAATTGGACTGGGATCAGGACATCGGTGTTGCTAAGGCCTGAGGGGCCTTAGCCACTGGATCGCTCAGCTGGCTTAGTTGCTACCGTATGGTATCCACCGACTCAAGAAGTTGAAAGTGAGTCAAGTCTTACTGTTTTAATGTTTTGAGAAAAACAAAAGCAGCAGGGCCTGCACTCGGGGTGTGCAGAAGGTACAGAGAGGTACTCACAGTTTGTGTAGAAGAGAGTCGCGTTCGCGCACGGGGTTGTGCAACGAAAGCTGGGAGCGGAATAAAAATCACATTTAACGGCATATTACTTAAATACAATCTAGCAATATAAATTCATACCGCGATGCATTAAATGAACAGCGCCATCTAGTTTGCAGACTTGGAACTATTCGGGCACATATGAAGATGATGGGTATGTTACCTATAAGTATCTTTGTCATAACAATATTCAAACAATATTGTCGCAAACTTGAAACTTCATATTAAACAAAAATATTGCAGCGACATTGTTACAAACTTGCCTCGTATATTTGACGCAGCAATTTAGAATCAAAGAAAAGTCAAACTTGCCCCAAGTTAGTATGCTATCTGGGAGGTGACCAACGTATCAGTATTCCAAAGGATGAACAAAGATCTCGAGCTTATTAACACCGTCAAGTGCCGCAAGCTCACTTATTTTGGCCACGTAATGAGGAATAAGAAATACAGAGTTCTTCATCTCATAGTTCAGGGGAAAATTATGGGGAATAATAGAGATGGAAGAAAGCGACATTTCTGGCCTAGGAATTTAAGATTGGTTTGGGCGGAGCACTACATTCCTGTTTCGAGCAGCAGCCTCTAAAATAAAGAAAACCATGATGCTGTCCAACCTTCGATAGGAGTGTCATATTAAGAAGAAGCTATACTAGATGGCGTTAAGTATACTTCTACATCGCACTGTTTTGGTGAAGGTTGAGTTTCAACTTCAATTAAATAAATAAACACATATACTTAGCTTTTTGTTGTAGTTTTGTAGGAACCGTAAGGTTGAAAAAGTTGGATCCTTCAGTGATGATGGAGACAACTGGTAAGGTAGGCTAAAGGATAATTGTCTCCCTCCGAGATAGGTGTTGTTAGCCCAGGGACCGGGGTCCAAACGATTTTTTTTTTTAGTGTGTTTTGCTGTTGGCCTCAGATGGCCTTTACAGTGTAACCGGATTCAGGGACGGCGAGATCCTGAGGACCTCAAGCCGAGATGACGATCGTCTTTGGGACTTATGCAGGTTGTACGTTCTATTTATGCTAATTGGTAATGAAACTTATTGTGGGCGATGTAGGTTTCTTTGTTTTAATTGCCTGTAGTTATTAATTTATGATGTTTGTATTGGTACAGCGCCATCTCGTTACTTGCTGTTGAAACTTCTTGTAGTTCGTCTTGCTATCGATTGCTGTGACGATGTTAGTCTTCTCGCTATCGATTGTCGTGGCGATGTTAGTGCGATGAATTAGATGTGGCTATGTATCAGTCGCCACAGTTTCTTCGAAGTTGAACATCAAAGTAATTTTATTCGAATATCACGGATATTTTGCTATTATCTTTGTCAGTCAGTTACGCTTTCATGCCTAACCCACTAAGCAGATTTGACTTGAGATAGGACATAAGTTGCTATTATTGTGATAAATAGATTGTACGGAAAATCGTTATAGTCAAAGATAAAACCATGAAATTTTATTTCAGGTATTTTACAAGATATAATGAATAAATATTTGTTTTAGTAATGCTTAAAGTAACTATACCACGTGGACGAAGTCGCGGCCAAAAGCTAGTTGACATAATAAGACCCTCAAATTCATTGGTGAGCTTGGTACCTTGACGAACACTACTTGTTTATACTATCGATTAAAAACCTCTTATATCGACCCATTACAACAATCTGTTCGGAATGTGGAAGTATTTAAAAAAAACGAAAGTACTAAAAAAACACGTGCACTAGATGACGACTCTAGCAAAAGTTGATTTTTGCAGGAAACGACTATTCGTTGGTCCATACCAAAGACAGTTATTTCTGTTCCTTCTAATTTACATAATAAAAAAAATCAATTTGAAAAGTTCGAAACTTAGATATCAATACAAATACGAAAAAGTACAAATAGAATATGAGTTGTTTATTGAGTTTTAAAAATCAATTTACTTTTAAACTTGAAAGAAAACCAGAAAGGTTGTCATGGGGAAATCAAGAACGAACCGTAGCGACATCTAGTTTGATTTCGGGAACTAATGTTTTTTTTTAATACCTTCTCATTATAACACAACAGAAAATTAATAGTACTGCCAGATGCAATGTAATTATTTAGACATAGGTAGTATATTACTGTGAGATTATACAACATGTATTTATATAATAAAATATACACTATTTTGATAAAACTACGGTATATATTAATCAAAATATCATAATAATAAATGAGATTTTGATGAAAATTGACGCAACATAAAAATGAATTTCAAAATTGAAAATGCAAGCAACATAAAAACAATATAGTGAGATTTGAATAATCATAATATATTTTTTGTTAAAATAATTATATTTGGCTGAAAGACTTATATTTTGTCATTTTATATATTTAAAAAATATTTAAAAAAAAGTAAGTGCCAAAAAATGTTGATTTGACGTGACGGACATTGGACATGTTATTTTACTGTCATGCAGTGTGAAACATAAATAAAGCATTAGTTTTTCCAAAAATCATGACTTAATATCGAGGCCTAAACTGTTAATATGTTAAATTATCATTAAAAATATAGCCATCAATGACATACTAGTTTTAATTAATGACATTATGGATGGTTTAATTCACGCGGCATTGGAAGCTGAGGTATTTCGCTACTTTCATCTGTTCTATTTCCATCGTTTTTTATATTTTCTGGTATTTTTTTAATATGTTTATATTATTTATAGTCAATTCTTAATCGAGCCAAACATGTGAATACCAACTCGTCACAATTTGATGGTGGAGTTGCAGACCATAAAATGACTTGGACCCATGATAAAATGCATTTGGCAGAGTCTGTTGATGAATCCAGAATGAAGATCCAGAGAAATTCTGTAGGTTCAGGAACATCAAAAGCGGAAAAATTTGATTTGTTCAAAAAACTGCATGAACTTTATAATGAACTGAGTAGAGATGAATCTTCTCAAACAACTCATGTAAGTTTCAAAGTTTTCTATTGTCTTGTCATTATTGTTTTGCTTGTGTGATATATTGTAAAGAATAAAAAAGTAAATTATAATGGTAAAAAGTTCCTGAATGGAATTGCTATTGCTTATTTTTATGGTGTTTTATACTGGCAGCATATTTTTTTTGCTACAGTACTTTTGCAGTAAATGTGTTATAATGTTGATTGTTAGAAAATATATATTATATATTATTGTGTATATGTTACGCTCAAAGATCGAAAACGCTCAGTGAGCGGAAAAATAGCTCACAACGCGTTGTGGTCACAGTAAAACATCCACATGGCGAAATTCGTGTTATGGCTCTAATGAAAACGCGCACGACGCGTTGTGGCAATCACAGAAAGACCAAATAGCGAAATTCGTGTCGTGGCTGACATGCTATTCGATCTCAACGCGTTGTGGCAATGAAAAAAAGCCATGATGCGTTCTGAGCATTCATTGTTTTGACCGTATCACGACGGACAGGTTGTAACGAACTTCGTCGTTAACACTCCGCTCAGCATCTATGTTATCATCTGGAAGTAAGCAAGGGTTTATAATGTGCCACTGCAAAAGATACTGTATTGATAAAAAGTGCAAGTGTCGCTCCAAGAATATAAAATGCAACTCCAAATGCCACAGTAATAGTTCCTGTAAAAATAAATAGCAATCAAATACTTATTTTAAGTACATTATTGTTATTTATTGGTGGATAATAAACATTTTTGTTTGTGTTAAATATTTTTATTACTTGAAAGAATTTAAATTGTCATAAAAAAATTAAAATCCCTAATTATTTTAAGTGAATTGTAAGAAATTTACAAATGATTAACATTTCGTGTTCAGTAATTTATTACTTAATATTAATATGTTGATTTTTTTAAATATAAAGTAATCTCAATAAACAACAAATATCGTTTTATTTTAATTTATATAATAACAAACACGCTATGCAGTGATTTTATTGGGTTGGCACAAAAGTAATGAGACACACTAGAAAAATCTATAACATTTCCTTTTTAAAATCAATTTTTTCGATAATATTCTAGAATGTTGTAGAACATTCTAGGTACTTCTGGTGTAGGATATATAAAGCCGCGCTCGCGATTTGTTTAGTCAGTTTGAAGAAAAATGGACGAGCGACAAGTTCGAACACTATACTTATACGAGTACTTGTTAAGCCACAGTGCGCGGGCTGCGGCTGACAATATCAACAATGCATTAGATCAGAGTTCTGGGCAAAAGGTATCCAAACTTTGCCGGATCGTTGGCAAGAAGTCTTAGATACTAATGGTAATTACATCATTGACTAAACTTTTATTGTAATAATAATAAAAAAGTAAAAACTTAAACCAAGTGTCTCATTACTTTTGTGCCAACCCGATATAAAATAAAAAATATTTCCTAAGGACATCTACCAAAACGTTTCCAGCCTAGGCCTAGTAGGATCCATATCGGAAAGTAGTGTGCGTCGTAATCAAATAATATTCCATACGCGTGATGGCTTTTCTTCATTGCCACAACGCGTTGAGATCGAATAGCATGTCAGCCACGACACGAATTTCGCTATTTGGTCTTTCTGTGATTGCCACAACGCGCCGTGCGCGTTTTCATTAGAGCCATAACACGAATTTCGTCATGTGGATGTTTTACTGAGACCACAACGCGTTGTGAGCTATTTTTCCGCTCACTGAGCGTTTTCGATCTTTGAGCGTAACATATATACTTGGTAAAATAAAGAATATGAATTTTACATTTTATCTTAGTCAGATAAAATGTAAAATTTTGGATTTATATTGCTATTTAAGTAATAATGATTGTTTGTAACTTTAGCAAGGACTGAAGACAACATCCTACTTATTAGAAAAGCTGTTGGCAACATATAATCTCAACACATTAATAATTAATTTATATCCAGGCAATAAAGGATATTCTTTATCATTAAAAGTCAATGGTAATATGCAATACCTCCATCCACCAGATGCTAATGTAAGTACATTTTTCCCCTTTTTTAAAGTTAATGATAAATATCAACTTAATTTTTTAATATACCAGATTTGCACATAATTCACAAGTTTTAAAATATATTTCATAGCATGGGCAACTGCCGCCCAATTTTGGTTGCCCCGCTTTATTAGGTATTTCATAGGTATTTTATGTAATTATAGTATAAATTATAAACAATAATTTTAAAGAATTTTTTAGCATGAACTGTCATCATTATTTTGCATTATACAGGTTAGATTTTGATTGCACTTTTGGTCAAGTGGTTTAGTTTTTGCCATGCAACTTCAACCCCACAAAGAACAATTGTTTGTGTTATTTACAAATAATTGTTCTTAGTCTTGGTGTACTTTGTCTCTCGCAACACAGGACTTGTATACTAAAAAAAAATTTTGAAATAAAAAAATATATGAAACTAGTGGACGCCCGCGACTTCGTCCGCGTGGAAGTCGGTATCCCGTGGGAGTGAGAAGTTAGAAGTAAAAAGTACCCTATGTGTTATTCTGATGTATAACCTATATTGCTGTAAAGTTTTATCCAAATCCGTCCAGTAGTTTTTTCGTGAAAGAGTAACAAACATCCATACATCCATACTTACAAACTTTCGCCTTTATAATATTAATAGGATAAACAATTAAAGATCCATAAATAAAGCTTTCTTGGAATTGTTAATGCATCATGTACTTTCTTTTAGGGACGCAATAGACAATATTGAACTGAGTACATATGTAATAGAAGCCATTCTTGCTGATTATAAGTCATAAAAAATCCAAGCACAAAATAAAATTCAGAGAATTCCCGTTACTGAGTATAGATGGTGGTACAATAATTCACTACAAAATATCATTTAAAGAAAGAGTATTCTCCAAATTTGCCACAGAATACATAATGAAAAATTTCATGCTCTTTTCTTTCAGTCCCAATTTATATTTTAACCCAACTGTTAAAAATATGAATTAGTTCAAATATTTAAAAAATATTTTTTATTGTTTACTGTGAAATTTTGCGGCCCCTAAAGAGTGCCGCCCGAGGCCCACTACGCTACGCCACTGTATCTATCTAAGATTAACCGCTGTTCATATGTCTCACTAAAACTCGAGAACGGCAAGGCCAATTTAGCTGATTTTTTATGTTAGCTGTAGTCCTGGGAAGGTTTAAATAGTGCTATCACCATTTAAACCTTCCCAGGACAGGACAGATACAAAGTACACTGGGTCACCTAGTAAAGTCTAATTGTTAATAAAAATTTTCTTAACAATAATTAATTTTCAACAGACATCAGCTAGTCAAGATGAAACTTTAATTGAAACTCCAAGATGGCCATATGAAGAAGAAGAACTCTTGAGTTACATAGATAATGAGGAATTGCCAGTAGTTCTACTTGATTTGCTGGAATCTGAACATTCAAGCCTCTTCTACTCAGGTTGCATAATAGCACAAATAAGAGACTATAGACAGGCCTATCCTAGTTTCTTATGTGATACTCATCACGTTCTGCTTAAACCTACTAATCAGGTAATTTATGATCAATTTATTATTTAGTTTGGTGGTTCATTAATTCCCCTTTGCAGTGGCAATTCTGTTGGCCCACTTTCTAAACCAAACTAAAAATAGTAAATTGCAAGGGGCTAATATGTCATATTATACAATGTAGTTTTAAGATTTGTTTTGAAATCACATTCATTATCCTGTATTAAAATTGTTTAATATTAGCATTAATTAATATAAAATAAAATATTCATCATCAGATCAGATTTTGTAAAAATTGATTATATAAACGCACTTGACTGAATGAATGTTAACAATATTCTCATTGAATATGGATATTTTTCATCAAGCGCATTTAGATGAAAAATATCCATTATTTATTACTCTAGAATTGGCTACTTGACAGTTATAACAGTAATTTTTGAAATAATTTGGAAATGGTTAGTGATATGTTAACAATAGTAAATAAATGAAATAAAAACAGTTTTAATTCTTTGACCATCTTCCTTGATAATAATACATTTGATTAGTTCTACATATATGTACTTAAAGCAGATTTTTATTTATGCATCAGCAGCCATCATTTACTGGTTTGATTGTCCTCTGAAATAGGCTTTCTCCATAGTTCGCCATTCCTCTCGATCTTGAATATTTCTCCAACCCTTTGTTAGATCATCTTGCCATCTTTTTGTTGCCTTCCCATGTCGACAGTAACTATGTAAATAATATGCTTGTAATTTATTTAAAGCAATTTTTAAACACACATTGATGTCACATTGCAGTAAAAAAAAACATCAATGTTTATGTTGTGCCTGCAAACAATACTCATTATTTTTGGAATATGATATCACAACTCGAAATGTGCGACTGATTGTTTTTGCAGGACAATTTAAATTAATGAATAAAAATATGTTCTTCCATTTATTAATAACAGTTAAAATGTGATTCGTGGTTTAATGTTCTGAATATTAAATCATATTAAAGTTTTCAAATATTTTTCCAAAACAAACAAGTAGTCAATAAGTAAGCTTTAAAATTAGGTCCAGATAATGTTATTCTTGCAAAATAAAATCACTGTTTTTGAGCTCCATATTAAGTGACTTCAAACAAAAATGTAAACTGTATGTTGTCATAACAAAGCTTTCAGTGTCATCGTCAAAACTTGCGGGCCTACATTAAAACGTGTAACAATGAAGAAATTGAATTGTGAACACCTTAAGGTCTTAAAGTTGTAAATAAGAGTAGAAAAACGTATTTATTAATATCCCCATTAATCCACGATCGCTATATTGCTTTTAATATAAGTATACGAAGTATTGACGTCATAATATAATATGATATTTTGGGATTGAATCTAGAACGAAATATCAATAATAATAATATTTTGGTCTTATCTTGTATAATTTGCTGATTTATTTTATATGGAATGTTGACTTAAACTGTATTCTCTCGTTTAATAATATTCTTGTGTCAATAACCCCATTGTAGAAAATTTTAGTTTTGCATTTTGAAAACTTTAAACTTTACATTTAAAAACTACTCGTATCCTACTTCTAATATGGTGATAGGTTGTTGTTAACAACTGACCTACAGAATATATTATTAATTAATTCTGATCATCAGATCAGATCTGTCTATCAAGTTCAATGATAACGATTTATACAGTGTGGAAATAATGATTTCCTCATTGAAACTCCAATTGAATAAGTAAAGTCGATAAACAATATCATTTCCTTTTCATAGAGTATAATAACTGATGCTATGTGCATCGGTGGCCGGTGCGGCTGGGCTGGAGAAGAACGTGGCGCTCTAGAAGCTGTAGAGGCAGCTTTAGTTCATGCTGCTGCGCCTCCTTTGTGCCTTGATCCGCGTCCGGCTGTTGGGTTGCTAGCGGCCAGGTTGCATGCTGCTCCTCGACTTTTCAACACTCCCCGAATCCGGCGGCAGGCAAAAAAGTTCTCACAGGTAACATTTGATTTTTATAATATCCTGCTTACACAGCAAGAGAATCCGACGCGAAGATAGTATCATCAATCACCTTATGCTCGTCTACTGTTTGACAGTCCTCATCAAGAGCGCACCATCGTAGATTGTCTAACCGACTCGATAGCCTGAAGGCGTCTTAGGCCCCAATCGCATGGTGTATTTTAAACGCGCAGACGACCCGCCGTTGACGCGCTTATACACGCATCAAACGAGATTTGAATGCAACTATGTAATCTAAGCACACGGGTTGAACGTAAAACGTCGTCTACTGCACGTATACGAGCAGATACAGTGATATAAATACGCCGCACACAATAAAATATCATTGCAAATGCGGCGCGAACGGTGCGGTGGCATGAGCGCGCACTCCTCTTGTGGCCCTTTCTACGGTCATCAAACGCCCTTCACATGCGCTTTTTACGAGCGTTCGAAACTATGAAAACTCAAAAATCAGCATATATGACGCAGAAAATGCGCGTTCGTGATACGCGCTTCGTCTTCGTTTTTACAATACGCCATGTGCTGGGGACCTTATATTTCGTTTGCTGATTAGTGGTCACATTGTCAGTTCTACGATAATCCTACAGTTGTGGGCTATGTTGATTCCTTCTGTTCTATCATAGATTGTCTTATTTGGGAGCCCGAGACGTCACGCTTTTTTTCCGACGAATGGCTATATTCCGCATACCTCGCCGAACTTCCCGTGGCTGACGAGACGAGGTTATATAGGACTCCCCTGTAGACATACCCCAAAGGGCAAGTTAAACAGCAGGAGTCTATAAGTATCTGAAAATCATATAAATCTATAGAAAATCTGTTGCGTGTTGTACGTGTGTTGTGGCCGGCCATGGACGTTCACCCTAAGAGTTGAGGCAAATGTACTGCTTCATTTAATTAGCAAATATAGTTAACAAGGTTATGAACTTGGATATTCAATTGTAAACTTCGTTTGAGCTGACGGACAGTCCATAACCGTAAAAATATCAGTTCGCTTTTGTCTAAACCATAATGTATGTGAAAAATAGATTTCATAAATTGTGATCTGATAAATGTCAAATCAATTTTAGGTTGCTGTAAATAGAAAAAGAAAATTGGATCAATTTACTCATTATCATGGATTAGAATTGCTCGATTTGATACATAGGCAAAGAGCAAAAAACAGTCGGCAGTCAGTACCGCATACTCGCCTTACGTCAAAGTATCCCAAGAAACCTCCAGAAGTGAGTAACTCTAGCTTATTTTTTATTATTATCAAATGCATGAGATTATGATGCATTTATTTATGTATATTTTAGGTGTTTAAAACCATCGACCCTCCAAAAATGGATCCACTATTGCTGGCAACACCAACAGAGTTGACGGGATCAATACGTCTTGCTCGAGCGTATGAGCGTCCACGCCCTACCCCGGATTGCCAACCACAATTAGTTGAGGAATATATTCTGGAGACTGAAAAGACGTCACCACATGCTGGAGCTGGATTTTTCCATATAAAACTTTCCATATTACAAAGACCGTCAGATCAAGAGTTCCTAGGAGAGTTATATGTAGATAGAGATCATGTTGAAGGCGAAAGAAATGGTGCTGCATGTAGATTTACATTAGGTATATTTTTATTCTTAATTTATATCAGATTCAAAAGTAAAATTTTGCTAACCATCATAATTAGGCTTTCAGCCTGTTGCAAAAAAGTCCATTGAAATTGTCATAAGTTTAAAGCGACATTACCGATACAAATTTGATATTCATTGCAAGTTTTAAAATATTTTTCCGAAAATAGTCAATTAGTTAATTGTGGTTTAGATTAGTCCTCGTTCTATTTCATTGGTAATAAATGCAACGGTAAAATTATGTGTTCTTTGCTACTTGTGCGGAAATAATACAACAGTCATTGATGGTTTGCTTATAGGATCGCGAGTGCAGGCTAATAAATATATACAACAATTCACGGAGATATTCACTGAAGAAGGACGAAAGTCTGTTAGGATTAAGCACATCGTACCGGGCCAACTACCCAGGGTTTCGTTTACAGGCGGTATGCGTGAACTGGTAAGAATATGAAACAAAAACCATGGTTTTTCTCAGATCGGACAGTATTATTATTTTTTATTATAATTTTGTTTAAATTACCGTTTGATAAAACTATATCGTTTTTGTTAGTTTTATATAATTATTGATGATTTAAAAAATAGTATTTGAATCTACAGGGACAACAACTTTTGCTGCAACAGCGATCTGCTGGTGCTAGCAATTCAACTGTGCAAACACATGCAACTACAGTGCCCATTGTGTAAGTACAATTTCTTTTTTAAATTGAGCTTGAAATATTATATTTTTTTTTGTAAAATTTAATTACTGTTTATTACAGAACATCTGCTATAGCAGCCACTCCAAACACTCATACAAATGCGCGGCAACTACCAATACTGGTTAGTATACAAAATGGTATGCGAGCTGGCATCGAAAATGGCGTGTTCGTATCACCCAATAGCAAAAGCATACCGTACTCTAAAATTGAGTATTTACTAATATATATCATGTAGGCGTACTCTATGATCTATATTTCTAACAGAAGACGCTAAAATAGTATTTCTTCACACTATACTTTTGATACTAATGCAAGTCGCGCATATTATGCATTCAATTATATAAAATAAAAAAAAACTTTAAAAAAGGTTATTAAATTATACTATTTTTATAAACCATTTATTTAACTCCTCTGAAATCAGATATACTCTATTTCCTCTAATAAAAAATGACAACCCTACACTACTATTGTGTGTAACAAAAATTTTGTCGCGCCTTTTAGAAACCATAATTTTGAAATAAAAGTAAACTCATCATCATCAGCTCTTTTTAGGTCCCCACTGCAGGACTTAGGTCTTCCTGTGGATGCTATGGAAGGTAAAGGAGTTAAGGGTTAAATATATAAAGCTATCGAATGTTGGAAATGCTGTAACTAATGTATTCGTTTTTCCTCTTGTAAAATTAGGTAAAAGACCTAGAGTATACCTTTGTAGCTCGAAACTAAATAGATAGTAATAGAGCGTTGTATTAGCAGGCACAGTTACAACAAGTAGGGAGCATAGGTGGAGTCGCTACAGTGGGTAGTGTCGTGGGCAGTGTGGGCGCTGTCAATAGCGTCGCTAGCGTGGGCAGCGTGGGTAGCGTCGGCAGCGTGGGAAGTGTTTGCAGCGTGGGTAGTGTCGCTGCTGAAAGTGCGATGAAACAGCAACCGTCACCGAGTACACCTCGTTTGTCTCCACAGGTAACGTTTTAGCATTGCTTGGGATAACTGACTATGATAAATAGGGATTATTAAATTTTTGTTTGCTTGCTCGTCAGGTAGATTATTAAAGAATATTAAACATGTATTTTTTTATGTTTTCGTAAACAATAAATTACGGCGATACACGGAATTGAAATGTATGAACTTTGTACGTTTTTTTTACATAGTTGTAACGTAGCGAGTCCTCACTTTAATGCCTATTATCTAAGCCATTTCTTGGTGAATTGAAGCAAAAAATGTATGTAAAATTTTCTATATCGAAATAAATTATACTGTCACAATGGTAGAAATATTTTTTTTTTAATATGTGGATCTTGATGTCACAATTAAACAAATACAAAACATTTGACACAAATTAGTTCTTCTTCTTCTTTTATTAATGGCATATCTGCGCATTTCGCGCAATTCTGCCAATGTCAAGTGAATAAATTAATTTCTACATGTAAAATGAAAATGTTATGAATGAAAGATGGCGATGATCTCCAATGCTCCACAAATTAGTTACATTGTTTATGCCAATAATGTACATTCAAACTTCAAATCTTATTGACATACTTATGTTATGTATTAACGCATGGTTTTTATTTTTTATAACAGATTAAGTATATTTATTTATAAATATTTCTTGCATTGTACTTTCGTTGAATTAAAATATTTCTTGACATTTGGTTTATAGGTATATGGTAAACTGTTCTTCGATTTGCTTTTAATAGTAGTTACTGTTTAGGTTCACGACATTCATTCGACGCAGGCGTCGACCAACCAGTTATTAGCTCAGCAGCTAACTAATCCGCCTCAACCGCTCAACCCACAGAAGATGCAATCAGCCATCATACATATACAACACCCTCTCATATCCACTGCAGGGACCTCACAGGTATTCTCTTGTTCATTATTATTTCTAAGGACGACATTAGTAGATTATTAAAATATTTAAATTTTCTAACGTTTCATAGGTTCAAAACATACAATATACAACAACAACAACAACACAACAAAAAGCTACCATTACCAAGCCTAGGACAACAAACCCGGCCATTAGCGCTCTCGTCACTAGCCTTATGAACTCCGCACAACAGTTTCAACAGGGTTTGTATAGATTTTTTTTGTAAACACGACTTATCTTTAGTCACCAGAGCAATCGATATAATGTATTTTATTTTAATTACAGGTATAGCGAACCAAAATGCTGTTAAAACAGTTGTAACGACTGCGAGCAACAACGCGACCATATTGAATTTATTAAATAGTGCCCCCGCCGCCATGACGCATGTGACGTCGACGGCGGATACAAATATCGATGCGCATAAGCTTCTTGGGCGCGTGTCTATAGCAGGCGCGCGTTTGATAGCAGCTACTACTGCCTCACATACGCTGCCTACGTATACACAGCAGGCATGTATCACGTCCACAATTGACATTTATAAATCTATATTGTTTAATCGATTGTATGGTCATCTCATTTACTCTTTCGTGTAATCGAGACGACAACACATCCACGCGCGCTCGTACTTTGATTTAAAAATTGAAAATTTTTGATCAGAACAGCTTTTAGCTTTTAGTATAATAAAGCTCTTTCGTCCGCTGCTGGAATTTTCTAATAAATAATTTAACTTTATATTTATACTGCAGCAAAAAAGTAATATTAATTTTGAAATAGTAAAATCTGCATATGTGTTGTTCTCTGCTATAGAAAATATATCTATTTGATTTTGAACGTTAGTGCATTGCAGCTAGAGTTCGAAATCAAATGAGAAAATTTAAGTAGCATGGAAACGGAAATCTGATAAGACGAACATACCACTTCACCCTGCGATGAGACAATTCAGAAAGATCATTTTCTATCTTCGTCAAACCAGGAACTACAGAGATAGCGACGCATTGAAACTGGTCTTCAATTCCTTTTCAGATACAGATACCAGACCATTATCTTAACATTAGACGATAATTGGTTCCTTTTATGTTACGGTACATATTTTTTAGGGCGTAGGCGTCCAGGTAATGAGCGGATATACTCGCGAGAACGAACCCACCAACGTGACTAGCAGTGAAAGCGCATTGCTAGAACGGTTAATTGGCCCTGCGGAGCCGGCAGCCGCGCCGGCTTCTCAAACACAGCCTGTTTGTCACTTACAGGTAAATAAATAACAGAAATCACAATCACGCCCTTATTTCGTAATGTTAAGGTAGAGTTTGGCAACCTTATAGCAGTAACTAAAGATTTTGCCATACAAGAATTTTTATTTCGTTAAGTATTGAAATATATTCGGCAGCACGGTATTGCTCAGTCGCCCGCCCTATCATTTTCTGTCGTTTAGAATCGCCATTTGGTAGAGTATAAAAAACAGCGGGTGTGTGATAGATACGCCGCGGAATTCTTCGCTTCTAAAAAAAGGCTTTGAATTTTTCGCTCTAGTAAAAGGCTGTCCACTGAAAAACATAGCACGTTCAAAAACGTGCTGTCAGATGTATTTCTACCATAATATTAATCATTCGATTTTGTGAATTATGTTTTTACGCTACTGTCTAAGATCTCGTTCCCACTTTTCTATACCTGACCCCAGGACTTGCTGGGCTGGTAAAACTATCAGAAAGGGTCATATAAGGTTAGAAGTAGTTTAGGCTACACATTTTTACGGACCCGGCACAACCGCCGTACCTGCATATTGGGAACGAAGTCTAATTATGTTGATTTCCATCAGTAATTGGTAATAAACACTCGTAGAGTGAAATAGTAATTAAATTGTTTCAGGGCTTAAGTTTAGCATCCCTCCAAGGCCTTCAAGGTATCCAAGGCCTTCAAAATGTCCAAGTACAGATCCCTGGGTTCTCTGCACCGATTTCGCTTTCTCTAAACGTGTCAGGAGCGCCCAGCGGGTTACTAGTGTCAGTCCCTCCCACCACATCTGTCGTCCTCACCAATCAACCTTCGGTGTTATCTTTACCAATAGGTGAGTTATCAAATCATTATTATCAGCCTATTGATGGCCTCGATAATATGTGTAAAAGCTTTCTCAATAAATAGAAGTACAAAGGGACCAAAAACGACAACATGAGCTCGGGGCGTTCAACTAAATATTGAAAATTATTGATATTCTGTTGAACCCGGATATAGTTCCAAGAAAAATATCTTATCCATGTTATTCTTTCTGTGAGCGTTTATGATTCAAGAAACAAAAAACGATTTCCCTACTCTGATTATTGTTAATTATTGGGTATTATAAATATTAGAACTATATTAAATTTTATATTATATAATAAATATTATTACCATACATAGGGCCCATCTATATATGGCCTATTTTAACAGCTGGTCTTTAACATTTTTATTAGCCTGTTGCAACAAATAAATGAACAGAGTAAACTTTAGATTTTTAATATTAGTACAGTAGAATCCGGATTACGCGGATCAATTAAAACCAATGGTATTCCTTATAATCGAAAGTCCGGTAATCGATTTAAGATCAATTTTTATTATGATATTGATTATATTTGATATTGGTCGCTTAGATGATATGATTTAAAAAAACAAGCTATATCGATTATGAATTAAATAAATACCTATGTAATTTATAATTTTGCTTGGAAATAACATGTTATTGCTCTTTGCTTTGAAGTAACGTATCTCATCTTTTCTCATACGATTCATCATGTCTTTCAAAGCAACATCTAAAGTTTCAAAAGTTTTTCCGTGAGATGTTATAATACATTTCGGCACAAATGAGCGCTATCGAAAGAATTAAACAATACAAACATTATATATGAATAATAAATGAGACCTGGAGTATACGATTGGATCGGAGGATCACAATCACGGTCGGAGACGGGAATAAACATTCCATAACATGTATCGTTGCTTCGTCGCGGGAAGTTGACATTTAAAGCTGAGATGAATGAATCTGGATAATCGAGGTTCGGATAATCGGGATTCAACTGTAATAGAATAACAGATATATAGCAATGTTTACAAATTGCAGCCCAGTTGATGTCGGGCGGTGTGAAGGGCGCCGTTCGCGGGGGTTCAGTACAAGTGGTGAGGGGGGCGCGGCCCCGCCCCCCGCGCCCTCCCTCCGCTCCGCGCGCCCCTCACACGCTTACTACATTACAGCCCGCCACGCCGGGACACCCACAAGGTAATAATCGCTAATATGAAGCACAAGATTGTTATTATAACTATACTCCATTCATTATAGCATTAGACATAAGTTAAATAAGGTTCTTTTTGTGGTATACTTTGTGACAAAATATTAATAATCATGTTACTTTTAAGACTGACGGCTAATTTGCTACATATCCATTTAAATACCAGCTGCTATACTTAACTGTTGTCATTTAAGCTATCTATTAAACAAATTTATGAGTATATAACTATCTTAAATGATTTAATAACTATTACAATAAAAAGTGTTCATCGTAAAGAACCTAAAGAAGCAGGGTTGGATAGTGTCGGCACGATTCTCATGTCACTATAACTCTACCAAATTTAAAACATTGCCTTACCCCTTCAAACATTTCGGCAGTACAGCTTTTTAATTTTGTCAGAGTATTATTTATTCATAATTGTTAAAATCGTAATCTGGGATTGTCATTCATTGTGAATGCTACTGCCTTTCTTGTTGTTTTGCCGTTTTCTGTGATTAAGTTTTGTTAAATATGGACGATGCCGGTGCAGGCCCGAGTGGCCTACAAAAATTACGCTCTAAGCCCATGAAAAAACTTCCTGAAATGTCAAAGGTAGGTATGTCAAAGGTAGGTATGGACCTACCTTTGACATTTCAGGAAGTTTTTTCAATGTCTTCATCAATAGTCTAACTAATTACACTTACAATTAGAATTTATCAAAGCAACAGACAGATAGTTTCAGTTTTAGTTCCATGTTGGCTTGGGAGTAAAAGATAAATTGATAAAATGCTGGCCTCATCTTAACCTCAAGGTAACGTAAAAATGGAAAATTGCCCAACTCTTTCAGACTACCTAACGTTCAAAGTTTCGACAAAGCTAATATATATTTTTTAAATTTATCTTGGAAACAAAATGTTCTGCACTGCTGCTTCTATGACCCTCGTTTTACTAATTATTATAATGAATGGAGTATAGTACGAATTAACATGATACTTGAGGGGCTATTATATCTGTTCTGTAACGGTAATTCGGAAAGTGTTGAATCTTTCTTATAATAGGGGTGTAGACAACTTTGTAAATATTTTTATTATTATTTTGTTAAAATCATATTCGTGAAGATTATCTGTGCATTAGAGGCAGTCATTTTCTATCTCCGTTGCATCATAAATTATCTAAAAATGTGTTTCTTTGGAGTCGTATTGGCATTTTGAAAATAGGAAAAATTTAGTTTTTGTTTAAATCAAGTAGGCCTTCAGGAATCATGTTGATTTGTAAGAGTAGTAAACTATTTTATCACTATTACTTTACTTGATCAAAAGAAATTTACCCTTTTCTTGTTGGTTGATTTATCTGAAATGTGGGATACACCTTTAGATATTTTTTTACAAAATTTATATTTACAAATATTTAATATTATTGTAAATCCAAGATGCTGGATTGCATATTTCTTTATTACACCCTCAACTTTGATATTGAATGAAAAAGGGCTTTATAGAACTACTCAGTCGCACTAGATGAGGCCAATACTAAACTGGTGACCAAATTCTAGTCCAGGGGGATGGTTGATGTCATTACTTAGAACTGTGCTGTACTTCACGACAGCAACTTGTGTTAAAGTCCGGGCAGTTTAGGTAAAACATACACAAGATTACAATAGCAAGGTACATAAGTCAAGATGGCATATAAATATTTTTTCTATAATACGGAAAGCTGCTGTGGAATACTATAATAGATCAATGTTTTACTCAGAACTACTACAGATAGTAACAATCGTTTTGATGTAGTTGCCATATATCGATATTCATAAGTTTTCCAATATATCGTTGAATTCATATCGTCGGGAAATATAAAACTTTGTAGACGAAGTTGAGTGCGCCCTATAATTTACGGGCTAAAGGATAACGTAAGATTTATACGATTGTTCTTTGCGATTTGCAGTTACGAACTACTTTATCGACCGTATGTCGTCTTACACTCTTTAAGATTACTTTATATATCATTACTGAATGAAGTTTGAACTGAAACATTAATTAGTAAATTAATTATTATTTTAGCAACGGCACAGTTCATCACACAAGCGCAGGCGCAAGCGTTGAATGCTCAACAGGTGAGACGGAAATCTAACACGGACAGTTCATAGTGAATACAGAAACCCTAGTTTATTGCCCTCTAGTGAAATAAAACTGTAAATACCCAATAGATAAATTATTTTAGACTTAATTAATTAAAGGTGAGCGTAAACGATGGAAACGTCAACGGTTCATGCGAAACAACGATTTAATCACATCAGTTTTTTTTTATGTACACTGTTGCTTGCTACAATGACATATAAGTGATATTATATTTTTGATAGCCAAATGAATCGAAGTTATTTGATTTCAACAAACTAAAAGAAACATAAAATTTGTTTTATTACAATGAAGTGTTTATTTAGAATCATGCGGTGTTACATTATTTAGTTGATGTACATTTCTTAATCATGTATTTATTTTTATTTTATTCGGAAGTCACAAATTTTAAATATCAACAATTTTACTATAACTGACATTTAGCGTTATCATCATGACATGAATTATTGTGAGTAAATTTAATGTGTTATACGTATTTAGTGAAGTAAATGTTAAACAATACCAATATTATTATGATTAGTGAAGATTTTATTTGTTGTTGGACTTGTTGGTAACGAATGTAAATAATGTTGTTGATGGGTTATGAAAATTTTAATTTTGACTTGTGTTTGTAATATTAGTTTAAGCATGCACCGATGTTTTTGTAATAAGCTGTGAATTTCATTGCAGAAGTGAAGTATATGAGTTTGTTGGGCTATTATATTTTGTTCCTAGAGCAGGACAAGTATATAATGTATTATGTAAGCGTCGAAAGTAAACGATACATAACGTTAGCCATAAAATTCTAGCATTTCCACGGACTACTCCTTATTTTTGTACCTACGTCCCGTACAATAACGCACAGTACAATAAAATCAACAGCCATCTTGGTTCGCATTGCATTTCAATTTCAGAGTGTAAGGTGTGCAGAAAAAGCACGAAAATATTTTGTTTTATAAATCAACGGATTACCGCTCGCTGACATTGGTAATTGAACCTAATATTAAATCCAATACTTTATTACATGTTTAACAGTAATCTCCTAAAAAAATCCTATTATTATTTGGTTTGTATAGTATTTCGCGAAAACGACGCGGGGTTCTATGGATAGCGATACGTATCGTTTGTTTCAACGCTTACATAATACCTTTGGTCAGTCTCTGTTTATCGCTTGTTCTAGTAACAAACTATATAATAAAATTCGAACGCTTTGTAACACAATACAAAACAAACCGTTTTTTTTTCATCAATGGAAAATGTTCAGGTTCCATTCTTTTTATGGAATAACTTTGTTAATACGGAATTATACAGACTCAGTTACACAAACATTCATTAAAATTGTCATAAGTTTTAGCGATATTCACCGATACCTATTACCAAATTAAAAACTTTCATTTGTACAGACAGCCTTGACAGTTTAGAGTCGCCATTAAACCTTAATGGATGTTTGTGCAACTGAGTGTTTGAGACTTTGAAAGCATGGCCGCTCCATCGTAGCCTAATATGTATAAATTTAAAGATATTTTTGTGAAACTCTTTCTTTGTAACCATATTGCATTATGCGCCCTTCTGACGTAGCCGCGTCGCAGATTCTCCATGTTCGTCCATATAGTATGACATCAAACAAAGAAAAGTTTTTGAATTATTCACAATGCTTTTTTAAGCATTTTATTTAAGATAAAGCTTTTCTGTATCATCATACGGGTAATCTTCGGAAATACTGATCATGTAAAGCGGGCGAAGTCGCGGAAAATAATTAGTTTAATATACTTCGTCAGTTTCATAAAAACCACTCAGCACTTGGTGATGAATTGTGGTCACTAGTATTCCTTATAGACCTAGAGGTCGTGACAAGAATGTGCAAGAGTTTTTGGACACTATTTCGATATGTTGAAGTATTAAAAGTATACTTTACTCAATACTCAATGCCGAGGTAAGGTGCTGGAATACCGGGTGGCGGCGTGGCAAGCTAAAGTATGAAAAATCGCAACACGTATTAAAGGTGCTTTTAATAGTTTAAAATTAGCGAATAATTTATTCTTAATATAAAAAAGAAGACTGAACTGCTCAGATTACACAATCGGGAATCGTGGCGACTCAGCAGATATCACAAGTTTGTGCGAAAATAAGTTTTGTAATGGTTGAAAGTTAATTTATTGTTATATTAGTAGTTATTTCATAAAAAAACCAGACTTTAATGGACTAAACATATTCAGCAATCGCTAGAAGTTTGTATCGTGCTGCCGCCACTAGGTGTTCTAGCGCTTGACCTCCGCACTATTTACTGAGTAATGTATACCCTTAGTACTTCAACATACTGAAAAGTCAAGCTTTCTTTCGCAAAAAAGAGCTTTCGGTTTATTACATTTAAAGATATTTAAATTACTTCACAATGTGCTGAGTATATTTTTAATTCAACCATTTGTAGTAAATTCATATGTCACCAAGTGTGCAACAGTGAAATGATATTTAACAACGGGATTGTCGTACGAATTAACATGCCTACCGTACTACTCGTACGAAATAAATGACACCTTAAGGACTATTCTATTCTCCGAAAACGAAATTATATCTATATAAATTTTCATTTGAGGACAAATAGAATAGGCCCTCAAGTGCTATGTTTAGTTAGTACGAGGTATACCTTTTATTTATCGAATCCAGAATATTTCAAGTTCATGGAGTAACTAATTTCTTGCGGGTAGATGTAGATGTAGGGTCAATAGCTTATTAAATTGTACAAAACAACGTTACTGTAATTTTACATTGATCAAGTTATTAAATCGGTTGGTTTTTAGAATACTCTGTCGGCCAGTTGTACAAACGTCCATTAAGGTTTAATAACGCCTTTAAGCTCTTATGAATGTCAAATTTGTATGAGTAATGTCACTTTAAACTAATGACAATTTTAATGCACGTTTGAGCAACTGCGTGTGCATCGCGTATACGATATTTTAACGGCATTTATTTCTCATTAGAAACCACAAAAAGATTTAGAAAAGTTTCATTACATTATTGGTACATAAAAGAATTGAAAATAGCGCGTGAATTAAATGATCCGATGTAAAACACAATTTGACGTAATCAGTATTATAAATAAATCTTTGGTCGAACACTTATGAATTCAAAGCTATTAAAGTACAATTTTTTGCCACGATTCTAGGATCCGTTTTTAGGTAAGATGTAAATATGTATTATAAATTAATGAACTTAAATGCATCACAGATTGAGATAAATGTCATTTTTATGTATGTGGCTTTCATGTTCGAAATTTTAAAATTGGGCTTGTGGGGTTCTACAGATTGTTAGCATTTTTATTTAAGTTCGTCGACTCTCAAAAATGTTTTTGTCAATTTTGGTTGTAGTAAATTACCATGTCTAATTTAATATGGAATTTTTTGAACCGGAAAGATTATGGGAACAATGATGGGTGGTTTACAATGCAATATAGAAAGTAAGGGTATTCGCGCTAGATTTTTAGTTAACTCCTTATGGATTACTTGTGTAGTTATCTGACTTCATTTCTAAGCCACTATTTCATAGCAAAACAGATTATTTTCGTTTAATAAATCTCATCCAATGACGTAAATAGGTTTTAACTTATGACATTTTAAACGTAATTTAAATAAATTGTATCGAAAACCATGGACTTGTACATTCTATGTTCAAATCTATGACTGTTTTACTTGACCAAGCATATTTTTTTTTTATATTTCGCTATCAATTATTTAATTTCACGTCATAATATATATATATATATATATATATATATAACCACTTTGATTTACTGATCTGGGAGTCGATAATTCTTGAAATGACATGAAATTTTGAAATCCCTATGACATGAAATTATTTTACAGTTAAAGCGCCAAGGCTTTATGGATAGACTAGCAATTGGCTAGATGTTACTAACTAGACTTCGATATTGGGGATTGATGGACAAAATAATTTTATAGGTCGATTTTATTATCTAGGTCGTAAAGTTGTGTCTTGGTATATGTATTTGCCGTATGAAACTAAATAACATAAATGTACTTGACCCGACTTTTCGTAGTATGTACAGTCGACAGTATGTTAGGTTATTAGACATATGACCAATTTAGACTACATAAGTGTTTGTGGTTGCATTACTCTGTCCAAGATACTAATCACCGATTATAAATTATGATACAGCCATAATTACAAATTCTTGTAAAGTTTTCTTTCTTGTCCTATTTGGCAAACAATTAACAATTGGTATTTCTAATGATATAAATAAAACTAAAAATTAATGTAATATGTTTATACTAAATTTTATTTTAGACGTCTCGCATCCTCTACAACAAAGCGATTCCGTAAAAATCAGGATCCAAATTCGAATTTGCTTTAATTTTCGAAATCCCCTTGAAAGCGGCTTCCAAATTTCGAAATGACATAGGGATAGAGTATTCGAGACACGTATGAATCAATCAATCTTTGTATTTTAAAAGAGTTTTATAACACTTTATACACCGTTATTTTAGTAACAATATTGCTCAAATTAATTTTGGCAAATAAGACAACTAAAGAAATAATTAGCTATACACAGATTGGCTTTAATCTGTGTTTCAACTCATGTCATTGTTACTGAATATTTGTAATAAGAAAAATATGATAGCGTTCCAATTTTAAGCTTAACACACATTTGGATGAACAGAGATAATTGTCAATGTTTCTATTAGATTTCTATGTACTCGTTTATTATATATTAAATAACTTTAACGATTTCGGCATAATGTTGAGTAACACAATATTTTTTTGCCTTCTTTTTTAGTAAACTGTGTGTAAAATAATATAGTTATACATATTATACCAATTTATTATTTTTACAAGTGTTTAGTATCAGAGGAAAGACTGATGTAATAATACTCCGAATAATATTTGAGAATGAAGCTGAACGTATTATAGAAATCAATAGGGATAATGACTAATTATTGTTGGTAAGTTCGTCAAATAGATTATAGAAAAATATTAAACACGTATTTTTTTTTTATTTTTGGCGTAATCAATAAATACATTGAGTTGAAATGTCGCGTGACGTCACACTTTATACATTTTTATAGTTGTGACGTAGGGATTCAAGTTGAATGCCTCTTATATAAGCCATTTCTTGTTAAATTGAAACAACAACAAAAATATGTATCTAATGTTTTTCTATATCTAATGTTTTTCTATTATCTGACTGACGGACTAAATAGATTTTTTTGCCCAGATATCCACATTGTGGTTTCATGATTTGATTTAAAGTTTTCAATATACGTATAGTTAATATTATGGTCAATTTTAGGTGACGATAATATTAATAATTGGTTCTGCCACTAAAAGCGATTAAGCTTATTACATATTAGTAACAGTTTCGGTACAGTTTCTTCATTTCTTTTATACGTTCACTATGAATGCACCTGAAAGCGCTGTCATGTCACTATTGTCCGTTTCACATAGCATGTGGTGACGTTTGTTAACAAATCTATTTTACGTGTATTTCCAAATAACTGAAAATCATCATTATAAAAAAAAGTCGATTGTGTTTATATTAGATAATTATTTAAATTTTCATATTTAAACACAAATAAATTCTTAATAACCATGATTACTGAAATCAACACTTTTTTAAATAGAAATTGAATCAATTGAATCGGTCTAATCGTAATGTGTATTCGGTAATCATTTGTTTTTTTTTTATTATTGTCGCTGTAAAACTTAACTATAATAAAATTTTGTTGTTGTTTTGCTGATCTTGTTGATAAATAAATATTTTTCTTAAATCCTTTTTATACTACACACTAACCTCAGAATCGATTATACCTATTAGAAATAGACTCGTCACCATACCCATGCTATGTGAAAAAGACTAATACTGAGAGATCAGATATAATACTGTTGCGGAACAGTAGCTTTACTCTTTATTGTGAGTCAGCCTTTAATGTACGTCTTTGTATCTTGTTTGGGTTACACTAGTTTCATTATATCATTAACATGGCAATATTAGAAGACTTATGAAAATAATCAACTAAAATAATAAATCAAATAATAATGTTTATTTCAAATTTTCTTATGGGTTATATAAATCTAATTTTAAACAGTTCAGTTTCAATAAATTGGATATAATTGACTTCAGTCTAGGGATATTTTAATAAGCTAATATTTGTAAATTTTGGGACTGCTATGTTGTACATGTACTTTTATCATATTGTGCTCTGTATAATTAAAGTTTGTACATGGGTTAAGAGAATGGCCATGATTCTTAACATTTTGAAATTCAAACTTTACCTCATAGTTGATATTGAGCATGAATGAATTTAGATTTATTATATTTGATAAATTTTGCATTCACAATGCTATACTGAAAAATGTTCTTAACGAAAAATAGATCCACTTTGTGTAAGGTTATGGGTTTGAGTCCCATCTCAGAGTGCCATTGACAATGTGGATTTTTTAAGCATTTTTCATTTCATTTAAACAGAATTTAGATTTGTCTTATTTTTATATATGTAATAACAAAACAACTTTTGATGTCTAATTTTTGAAGAATTATTTAATATTCAGGCGTTTTGTATATTTTGCAGGCTCCTTCTTTAGAATAGAGCGGTGAAAAATAACGCGCGTTCAAATAGTTCAGAAGTTTTATTAAATAGTAGTGTGTAGTATGAAAGTATAAAGGCGCTTCCTCACCTAGGATATTTGCGTGTAATGTAGCGAGATGAATGTTTTGTCAGCGTGGCAATCGGGCATTACATTGCGCAACCTATGATGTTACACATTCGAGAATTATATTTGTGAAGGAAGTAGAATTGAGCATACAGTGCACAACTTGATGAAACTTATGATATCCCTGAAATGTTAGTTCAGGTAAATGCTCAATCCAGGAAGGCAGTATTGTAACGGAATACTCAAAATAGAATATGAATGTTACATTACAGACAAATGCTCCGGGTGAAGGAGCACATCAAGTAAAGTGTATATTAAATGATATTTATTTTTTGTGGTCTCACTTAGAAATATGAGGGTTTTCTGGGTATGAACCCAAGTCTCATACGCACAAACAGTTTTGTAAGACTATTATGCCACCTGACAGGATAAAATAGTATGACAGTTGGCACGAATGTTAGTTTTCTGAATTTGGATAGTATAAAATAATGTATGGAAGGTACCTTAAAAGTGTTGCTGTATTTAATAATTGTAGTTATCAGTGATGTGTTCAAATAGGCATTCTATGACATGCCTAGTTAATATTACGTAATTAAGTTTCTATTTAGAATATTTTCTGGGCATTTGATAGGTAGTGCGAACTTATGCCGCCGGACACATATGTGTGTGTGCGTATGTGTGTGTATAATTGTGCGAAATGTTGATCTCATTTGTTTATGAACATACAAGTAGCTCAATATGTAAATGGGTTTGTAATATATACCTTATGCAATCTATGTAAATTACTATTTTAAGAGATAATAATATTATTATTATTGTATATATTTTCTAATGGAGATTTTTACACATAACCCGATTTTATTAATTTGAATGGTTAAATGTCTCCAGTGTCACGACATTAATTACTCCTGCTGCATTGTAAATATTATTTTTAATGAGATGTGATATGCATTCTGACTTATACGTGTCGTGTATAATAAAATTATATGATTGTGTTGGCATTGTATATAAATTGATATTGTAAAAATAACTCGAGTACGTTGTTCAGACATTGACGTTTCGGACATAAATAAATAACTTTTACACAAATGTTTAGTTTTTTTTTTGTATTAAAAGAAGTGTTTCTGTCCTACTGCCTTTGTATAGATATCATAAGGTAGACATTCTTGATGAAAAAATTGAGTATCCCAGATCAAACATATTAAGGTATATGTTTGATCTGGGATAAATTTGATTGATCTTCTGTGTTGAATTACATGTTTAATGTCTATGTGTTTTCAGAGATGATTTCAGGTTACGAAATGTAACTGCACATATAAGGTGTAATATTATTATATGCCAGGACTTCGTGAGATGGATGAGTTAAGTATACTGACCAACTTTACTATGGGAGCAAGACTGATTTGTAATACCTACAATCGGCAACAGTATGAAACAGCTGAAACGGTGATCTGAGGTACTTCTTCACATTTAGATTTACTTAAATTTAACCGTATAGTTTTTATAATTTAATATAGTTATGGTAAGCACTAAAATTTGTATTACCACCTTTTTTGCAGTTTTATCGTTTCAGTGTTTAGCGCATAATTTTTCAAGTAGGAATTACTTTATTGTTGATAGAAATCAATTTTTACACGATGTATTAAGCAGAGTATCAGAAAAAAAAACGAAATATTGATTTGGTTAAAAAAGTATGCCTTTTTATTCTTTCAAATAGTCTTCATCTAAATTTTATAAGAACATTGGACACAATCGAAGCTTTTTACCAATAAATAAGTATAAATAATTTCATATTCACATAAATCGTCTTATTTTTATACATACATTACATTTATTTAATATCAGTCCTCTCAAAAGGTCCATTCTCTCCCTGCAAATTAAATTTTATTATTTACATAGCGATAGGGATTCGCGTCTACCATACATACATACATACATCAACAATTAACAATTAATAGAGACTATTTACAAAATATATCACAATCACTCGCACGTTCATCCTTCATCGGTCACACACGTCGATTTACACACACGATTTGGCATATGGATGGCGGCACGTCACTAGCAATCGTTCCAGGCGAGCCACCAGGGCGCGCGGCAGTCTTCGCGCTTCCGTCGCCGCCGCTCGCTGCGGTCCGAGCGTTTCTTTATAAAGCGCACGTTGTAAGGGTCTTCGGCGAGTTCTGGGTAGCGTGCAACGTCGTGCACGTACTCGCCCTCGTAGCCGCTGGCTGAACCAGCCTTCTGGATCTCATCTAGCTCGGCTGCCGACCAGTCCAACGAGCCGCCTAGACCGCTACGTAGAGCTTCTCGTTCACGATGCCAAGCTTTGCGAACGGCCGCTGCCTTCGCGTGATGTAGGAGCCGTTGTCGTTCCCGTTCCGCACTCGTACCGTAACGTAAATTTACTACGCTCGTCTGACCGTGGATTTTCACGTCCGCGTACGACCTGCCGCCTTCCGCGATCTCGTGGAATGTCACGTTCAGTTTACCCTGCATACGCTTCAACTGTTGCTTATCATCTGCGGCGCGCCATGTTTCCTCTTTGACGAAGTAGAATACATCTTGCTGATCACCGTGCACCACGAATGAGAACGGTAGTAGATGGGAGCGGTTGAATACCGAGGTGTATACGTCTCGGTAAATTGCATTCGCGGAAGGTACTGCCGTTACTACAGCGCGGCCGCGAGAGTTTCGCGATACGAGAATCCCTCGACCAAATGGTGGTTCTGAATCGGATCCGATTCGTTTCGCGGTTAGATCTAGAGCGTCTGTTTTCAATGCTGACATGGCTGGGATGGATAGACTCCTGAAGTCTGCGATGCGCTTGTTCGACATGTGCGACAGGAAGCCTGATTCAATAGTAACGCTTGGCAGCAGAGCCATCGCTGCTGGCATGCCAGGTCCAGGAGTTGTAGGTGCGGAACCCCATACAGGGCGAGCACGAGGAACGCTCGGTACTACTGCACCGCCTGGTAGTTCGTCAGGATACAGCTGTGGGGCAAGACTCTTTGTATCGTATCCCAGTAACTTCAGCCATGCTAGGTGATCTGAAAGGAAAATTAATATGAATTAATTAAAACAATGGTTACAGACTAATGGTTTTGATTAAAAAGAATAGTAAGTTTTTACCTCTCGGTTTCTTATTCTGTGGCCGGACATTGATAGGATCATTTCCATTGAATCTGTATAAATGTAGTTGGGTTGGATCAGTAATTCTTTCTATAAGATTTTCCCAGAGTGGTGACATCCATTGTCCTATCAGTGGGTCATACACTTTGCCATTTGCCATATGAACTAATGAAGTTACTTGATCCAAAAGTCCTCCACAGAAATCCACTGGTAGGTATAAGTAAGGGTTTGAATCGTACACGATATGACCGTATGGTGATCGCATGATCTCCCTGATACCCTCACCATATTGGTTAAATACCATAACCGGCGTCCCACATTGGTCAGTGGCTATATAATATTTATGACGAGCAACCTATAAAATAAATTGTCAATTATTATTTTTATTAAAATATATATGACTAAATTTTATTTATCAAAAAATACGATAACGCTGCTGTACCTGTGTATAGATAAGATGACCTCTGTCGTCATAAACTAATGTCATGAATCTGTTTTCACGTGGCGAATAAATGTGGCTGACTTCATGGGGTTTTTCTTTATTGGTGTAGTAGAATTGTGTCACATTTCCGAAATTGTCTTTTCTTGTAGACAGTCTGGAAAATCGTTAAAACATTTAGTTAATACTTAGCATCAACAACTTGCAATTTTAATTAACAATGAGTAAAAAGCTTACCTGTCAAGGTGATCATAGTAATAGCGTACATCAAATCTTCCACGTTTAGTTGCTCTAATCAGCAAACCTTTTGAATTGTATTGGAATCGTTCTTCTCTAGCGTTTTGGGAAACAAGTCCTCTACTATCGTACCTATATTGGCCTTCGCCAAATTTTATAATTCGATCCATTTCATTGTATTCCATTGGAATAGTGTTTCCTCTGTACGTTAAAGATAACATATTTCCATTATCGTCGTATCTAAAGCCCCATGGCTCTTGGGCTTCCACACCTGTTAACTGGCCGTCACAATCCCAAGTGTAATTTTTAACATTAGTATAGGTATTGACACCAACGTTTCTTGTGTGAGTTCGTGTTTGAGATATTCTTCCATGTTTATCGTAAGAAAACTCCATTCTAAAAACTTCCATTCTGTGGATATTGACAGTGACTCCTTTCTCTAAGAATTGGTCATTGAGAGTGCGAGAGAACATTGCGATCCCATCATAAACTGATGTTTCATTCCACTTTTGTTTAGATACTGTAAATTGACCTAAAATTTCAGGAGCGCCTGTTTTGCTGTTATAGATTATGTGGTGGGGAATTAAAGTTTGACCGCCGATCCTCCCCTGGACTGAGGTTATTCTATAATTGTTATCATATTCGTATATTATTTTGGCATTACTAAGGCCGGTTTTAGCACCATAATCAAGTCTTTCCTCCATAAGCAGCCCACCAGCATAAGTAGATTCCCATCGGTAATCTACATCCCGATCTACATGTAAGATTTCTGAAGGCAGCCCACTATTTTCCGAATAATGTATTTGTGTTTGTCCATCTCCGTGAATCACTTCAGAAACTTTGTTCGTTGTGAAATATCTGTAGACGACTCGAGCTCCATCGCCAGGGAACACTGTTTGTAAAAGTTCCCCTGTGTGGGAATAATGTTGTAGATATTTTTTCGATGAGCCAGGTGGCGAATATGTAACTCTCAAAAATCCTATCGAAGGTTGTACGCTAAATGAATGGTTTGCACCTGATGGTAAAATTACATGAGTCAAACCACCATCCTGATCGTACAAATATTTGAAGCTTCTTTGACTAGCTAAAATAATTTTAGAGACTAGATTGCCTTCATTATAGTAAATAAACTTCGTTCCATCTTGTGGACTAGTGATTTCCGATAGCATGCCGTGTTGGTCATAGTTGTACGATTCTTCACTTTCACCCCATTTCCAACCATTGATTCTATAAAATCGATCATATGACATATTGAGGGGTACTCCTGCTCCATGGGGAGTAAACGAAAGTGGTAGGCCAGCGACATCATATGCAATGGTAAATAGCGGGTTCCTGTCAGCGTTAAAGAAAGTTTCTCGACTTTTAAATTGATCGAACTCAATTATAAGGACCCTTGAGTCGTTTACCCAGATCTCGCGGTTAAGAGTTTGTTGTGGATTTCTTACATCTCCTACTAGAGTGTACAAAGAGTACATGTTATTTATTAAGCCATCGCCGAATGTAGTTGTTTGATGAGACCACATGTGTAACATTTCCGCTTCAATAGGTAATGCAGCTTCTAACAATGGATGTTTAGCTGCTGCAATACTTTCGAATTTTCCTTGCCACGGTGTTTCTAGCATTAAAGTATTATTTGTGTAGATTCTACCTTCCGTGATTTGTTTACCGTTGTTTATGGTGATTTGCTTGAATGACTGCCCGTGTAACACGTATTCACATTTCTTTGCTACCCCTACGGGAATGGTACTTGATGGATTAGATACGGTTACTGCGAGTCCATAATTTTTGGCCAATCCAGAGGCAATGTGAATTTGTTCCCCTGACGGCATTATAATTTTGATGACTCGCCCAAGTTCATCGTAGTTGTATATGACTGTTTCTCCAGCCTATAAGGGAATAAAATATTTGTAATTGCTTATAGATGTAGGAGCCCAAAATATATTGTGATGATGCATATTATTTAGATTCAATAAAAAGTTATTAATTACTTACCCCAGATCTGCTGTTCAGTAAACCACTGTTCGCATCATAATCTAATTCCATTTCAGTAGTTCCTCTTTCGCTTATTTTTGTAAGATAACCAATACCAGAAATCTTGAGTTCTAATTTGTGGTCTTGAGTGTTTTCGATTGAGCTAACGACATTACTGTAATCTCTTAGAAGTTGTATTTTATTGCCCGAAGCATCAGTTACAGTTGACAACTTTCCAAAACTAGTGTTCTTAGAGTACAAGAATGAATATCTTGTCTTTCCAGAAGTTAAATCTTTAGTTGTGATATGCTGACCATAACGATTGAAAACGTATATTTCCGATGTTGGTGGATATGGTATTCTAAATTCTCCATTTTCATCGTGAGTTGGCAAATAATGTTTTAGTGCTAGAATATGTAGTGAACCTGGAAAAAATAATAATATTAAAAATATATTAACAAAACAAATCATTGTTGTAGAATTACATACTCTTTACAGAATCAATAATGTGTAATAATAAATTAAAATAAAATATATACCTTGATCTACTACGTTTAGAACTCCATCAGGAGTCACTGCAAGTGCCGATATAGTTTGGAATTTAGCATTGGATGATAAAAGTGTTTCAGTACTGGTGGGAGGTTCATCACCGGCAGCAACGCTTAGACGGCATGGGCATCCTGCTCCTTCATCTCGAGTGTTTATAGGAATGACCGTTGCAGAAACTGATGAATTACATTCACAACTCAATTCCTTCAAATTCTCCTGTACTTTTCCAGCGAAGTGCATTATCTTTCCAGATGGATCGATCGACTTTATTGTATTCGATTTTTTTGAATCAGATTCTGCGACGTAAAGTATGCCACTAGGCGCGAACGCTATCGCCAATATCGTTCCCAAATTGGAGTCTTCTCTGAATTCTGAAGTTTTATTGGCAGGTTTTGTGATTGGCTTTCCGTCATTGCCCAATCTACAATGAGAGGGTTGGCCCGCGACCACTTTGATCTTCATATCTGCCGTAAGTTTTAAAATGATCCTATCGTCGATGAAGTAAAGAGATCCATCTAGTGGTGATAATGCTACTCCTGTAGGCCATTGTAATTGGGCTTCGTATGGTGGAATAGCACCACGACATGGAACTGGCGACCAATGATTGTGGTGACCGTGATGACCAACTAACGTGTGAATAATTCCGTTTGGATCTACAGCTCTAATGTTAGTGCCGTCTGCGATATACATAGTCCTATCTGCTGCAATAGCAAGACCTGGGAAAAAAATGAATATTATGTAAATGCAATACGAAAACTATTATGTTGAATTTAATGAATCTCTATCACAATACAGGTGTAGACCGTAAACGAAAATAAATACATTTTTTTTCTGGTAGTGTTTATTATACTAACTATGCATCACAATTACAGATAATCACAATTTTACTTTTAAAAATATTTTTATTTGATATAGTTCAGGTATATATATAAAATAAAAATATAAAATAGTTGTCTAGGGTATAGACAACTTTACTTATTAATCTTTTGGTTTTAAATTTGTGTGCCTACCTTTGGGATGTGCTAGCTTGGCTTTGATGGCAGGTCCTTCATCACCGCAATTAGAGTCATCGCCTGGTACGCAACGATCACCATTACCAACGACTGGTTCGGAGTTCGTTGCCGGATCGCGTACTTTTTCCAGTAGTAGCACCTTTCGGACTTGGTGCCTCTCAGAGTCTGATATGTAGAGGTTGCCGTCCGCTGGCGAGATGCAGATGTAATATTGATAGGCTGTCTGCGTCGTTCTGTAGCAAAAAGAGTATAAGATAACAGTATAATTCTTATATACAATATTTATAAACACGACTGTCGAATCATGATAATTCCGATAAACAAACGTGGTAAATAAATTGAATAAAGTTACGAGTTATACTTTTTCAGCACTTAAGTTTAGTTAAGTCATCAAATACTTAATTAGGAAAAATAATCGAAGGATAGATTCATAAAAAGAATGAGACCACTCACTCTAATCTGAGTACTGTGGTAACAACACCCTCCGGGGTAATACGTCTGACGAGGTTGAAGTCGCCCACGTAGAGGGAGCCATCCGGGCCAGACGTTAGCGCGGTGGGCGTCAGTAGTCGTGAGTCCGCAGCTTTACCGTTGCAGTGGTCAGGACAATCCAATGAACGTTGGAGGCCTGTTCCCATTACGACCTGAAATCAATTTTGATTAAATTGTGTTAGCAAATAAATTAATACCAATATATTGCAAAGGTTTACTTCAAAATTGTTCATTAGGTACACCTTAGCTATGTGATCGTGAGGTTATGTTTATTCGTGAAGTTAAAATACTTATAACTTACTTGCACAGTTCTAGGATATTGTTTCAGATGCAACAATCCACCGTCACCCTTCTGCAAAATTCCTTCATGGAAATTGTAGTGATGGTGAATGTCAAGACCCCAACCACCAATGTCCGAAATGTCGACATCAAAACCAGCTAATGTGGCCGTCTGCGTTTCCCATACGATAGATGAGCAAGAGGTATACTCGTAGCCAATGGAAATTTTCGCTTGTGCTTGACCGTACACCTATACCAAATAAAATCGGATTAACTATAAATATAATCAAATAATTATGAAGAAATTCCGATGCAGTTCAAATACTACTATATTGTGATAAATAACTTATAAATTTCCGAACTGTATAACATGTAAGTAAAGTTAGTCTTAAAGGTAAGGAGAGCTTTATCGTATTTGTCTCAGGAAATTGAATTATACCTACGCTCGCTCGATATTAGCTTTTAAACGTAATAATCTCGTCTATGAAGCATTTACACATTTTTAACTTTAACCTAGCTGATTAGTTTTTGTCTTAAAAAATACCTTTTGCTTGTAAACATTCCTCTTGTTCCACGCAAACACATGTGTCAAATCGGGGTCTGCTTCATATGAGTGAGTGTGCAGTGATCCTTCAATCTCTACTCGCACGTGCACTCGTGTTAGCGCTGCGGGAACTATGCGCCTTGTCAACTGAACATGCACACAAGAGAGGTAGCCAGCTGCTTGGGACGATCTGTAAGTGAGCTTAACAGACGAACCAGGAATGCCGATGGATTCGCTTACGATCTGGAAAGAGTGAGCAGGTAATTAGTTTTAGATATACGTTCAAATTTTAGAAAGGTATTGTGCAACCCTACCTCATGTCTGATTAAGTGGTATAGACATCATTATAACTACTCTACATGATTTTTTTATTCGTGCATGTTTGATGTTATTATTGATATTAATAAAGATTATTAAGAGACTTGTTGTGATATCGTGCGTCAGATGTTCGAATACTTCAGAAAGGGAGAGAACTAAAAACATCGTAAATAAGTCGATATAGAGATATTAGATGATCATACCATGACATTGAGTAATATTTCATAATACATCGTTTGGTTATAGATGGAACTGATATTAACTGGCTTTGTTGGCTTCCCGTAACTTTATCAGATGCTGTAAATACTCTTTTATTGCAATAACAAGGATTTATGTTATTGTATCGTGTAGAACAAATATACCTATGGCTTTAGAAACTAATTTGTTTGCCTTTCATCTGTCCCCGCAACAATCTAATTTTGATATTAATTTTTCTATTTTATTTGTTAAATTAAATCCTGAAGATTCATATATACCTGTGCTTCTGGGTAGACGACAGTGTTGGGAGTATGAGCGGACGCTGCAGGTGCAGCAAGTGGTGGCACAGCTACTACTTCTGGCCGTAGACGTTCGTGGTCATGTGCTGGACATGGACCAGACTCATTCTCCCACCACTGAGGTGTAGGAGACCAATCTAGTCGCGGAGGAGCTCTGTGGATAAAACTCTTGAGTTAAACAAAACCAATCAATTTCCTTTTTATTTAGTTAAGAAAATTTTGCAAAGGGATTATTAAAGGATTTTCTAAAATGTTTTACCTTGGTGTAGGAACTTTCACGCTCTCGTCACTAAGCTCCATTTCGACCGGTGGCAGTACGACGATTTGATTCCAAGGCACGAAGACTGTCTTCCGCAGGGGTTTGAACGGTGATCGCTGGAACTGAAGTGTAACCGCGCCTCCGCCATTCACTAGTACGTCGAACCTAGATTGAGAGTATATGTTAATGATAATGATTTATTCGTGTTTTGTGGTCAATAACCCTTGACTTCGGCTCAGCTTTCGGTTACTGAAGGAGTATAAGGGAAGTATAAGCAAATCAGAGAAAAGATCTGTTAAGCTTCTCACGGAAGCATGCGTTAGTTTGCAACGGATCATTCGTCGAGTTTGGAAGGTTGAATGACAAAATTTGTCAGTTCTAAGGTTCCGTGACCAACGTTAGGCGATTCATATTCCGTCAGATAAGTACCGATATAAGAATGTCTTAACTATTTCCATGAAAACTCCTAAGTGGTATTACGAGTATTTTTCAAATTAGAATACAAATTGTTTTTTTTATTATAAAAATAAGTACCTAAATAAATTGTCTAGTAAAAATATAAAATCTGTTAGCTTGCTGTATTAAAACGATTTATTTTAACTTAATGCGGTTTGGTATACTTAACGAGATACAATTAAGAGCAGCGCACGGAATTTAATTCGCTGCGGAGTTATTTTCCGTTAATGCTTGAAGTTGATTTTCTCTTAGATCGGGAACGAGCCGTGTCTTAGAATAGGCACGCATCAAGGTACATTATATTCCAGTAAACTTTATTGGATTAACAGCAAAATTGATTTACTTGTTCTTATTGAAATTTTGTGTGTTTATTTTAAATGTTTTGGATATTAATATACTCGATTATAATTAATATTTATTTTTCTTTTATAGAATAAAGTGAGGCAAGTTCTGTTATTTTTGTTTTGTTGAATCTAAACTATTTTATTACATACAACTTTATATTACCTCCTACGACGTCATTTTGTTTGCAAAGCATAATAGTATGCGTTGTTATGCCTCCTTTATATGCTTCGTATAACTTCGATTTATAAGCATTCGAGATAATCGATATTTAAATTTTCGAACGTGTTGTGTTTCATTCGATTACACATGTTCACATGAAACCGGTTTCGGTTATGCTGGCGAGTAATTCGATTTCATACACGATGCTTTACGGATACGCGCAAGGAATACCTAACGACCGTAACCGAACAATAATGATGATTGCTGTAAAGCCGCCTTAAATATTTGTATTACTCCTGAACTCCAGTATAATTGTTTGCGAGCGTCACGCGACTCGAAACGGAACGTTTTTCTATTAAAACGGATAAAGTTACCACACTTTTGGAGATTATATTATGTTTACGTTTTTAAGTGAAGACAATATAGATTTGTTCCGATACATTATATATTTAAGCGTATTTTTATCATCCGTTATTTAAAAAATATTTGTGCTCTATTATCTTTATAAGAAAAAGCTGTTCTCACGTTGATAATCGTGTTTGACTTGTTAGTTATACTGTATAAATCAATTATAATGTCGGGTGAAAGGGGATTAAACAATAACAAATGGGTTAAATAGTATTTATTATGATAATTTTAAAATTAACAATTATGTACAGTACAGTATAGACCATGAAATTTTAGAAGCAACTTTCGCTTAGGGTTCATGATCGAAATACTTGAATGATATGATTAATTCTATGTGGAGTAGGAATATTTAGGCATGTCAGTCATTACCCGTGTTATAAGGAGTAGGATATTCAACGGAAATATTTGGAGCACTCTACGAGAATAAGAATATTTGGAGTTTGTTTAAAAAAATATGTTTTCTTAAATACGTACTTATCTATAGGAGTAATTATTCGCTGTTTAAAACTTCAACTATGTACTGTACCTAGCTAGTAATCTTATAATTGGCATATTGGTTTTCATTTTGTATTTCTTAAAATTATTTTTTCATATTGGTATATTATAACACTTTATCAATTCCAGAGTGTACTATTATCGTACCCGACCAGACCATATTCTAGGACTCCAAATCATTCAAAATACAAAATATTTGAGCTGGATTGAGGACGATATTGTCCACGTAAGGTTGGATTTCGATTTCAAGAGTACCCTACCTACAAAGCCAACGTCGACATTGTGGAAGTTGCTTTGAATAGTGGCAAGTGACAGAAATAAATCGTGTAGGTATTGGTAAATTCGGTACTTAGCACCTTAAAATAACGTTTTTAAACGAATAGATGTTTCAAATAATACATAAAAGTTTTATTCTGTATTAGTTATTTCCGAACATTAAATAAAAGAAGAGTTATATAAGACAATATTCAAAACTTACCATCCTCCTTGCCTGGTGAGAGTAAACCCGAATCTCGCTTCGCGATCGACGGAGACCCTGATGCCGATGATACCGAGTCCTTGCGGCGAGACCACCTGACCGCGCATCACCGACACGCGGCTGCACAGAGCGGCAGGTTACATAGAGCCAATATGCAAATGGCGAGAGGTGACACCGTTCAATTACGTTTCTTATAAAGTAGACCACAGAACATTGGAAAGAAGTCAGAATGGCGATCTCTTCGGTAAATAACTAATATTTAAAAATATATATATATATATATAGGTATATATATATATATATAGTAGCATACGATACATATCCGTTTTTAATTGGGCGAGCTTGTAGCGATATGACCGCTCTACATTCCATTTCTATCCATTTGGTGCGCAATCCATCATCGAACCAAACGGAAGGCTGGCTAACATGTGGACAATCTAATTTGCCATTACATTCGTCACAATGTGGATTAATATTCAGAGCTGGCATTCTATAGATCACACAGTAAACAGATATAAATATGTATGCAGATCGTAGGTGTATGGAGACGGATATTTGGTTTTTATATTTAATCAATTTTGCATCCATGATGCTATGCTGAAAAATATTTTTAATGAAAATGATTGATAAATCTTTACTTTGTTACTCTGAGATGGGCACTGGCGCTCAAACCCATGATATTTGATTTTGCTTTGTACCTTACCTGACCTGCTTAAAGAAGATCTTTCTGTCGTCTTTCCATGTTATGTGGAGTCCGCTATAACATGTTAAAGCATCGGACACAAAAGTTTGACAAATGCATATTTCAGCGGCTTTTGCGAAAATGTGTAGTGATTTCCTGTTCACCAATAAATGTCAATGTTACGATGTCCGGTACTTTGAAATGTCACAAATGGACTTTAGGGTCGGTTATATTGACAGTAGTTAAATTCTTAAATGTTCATTGTGTTCTTGATGTTGTATGTGTTGTGTAATTGTGTTATGTATCTTTAAAGAAAAATATTTCTTTGAATATATCAATTTAGCATTATGAATGCAAAAATATCAAATATTGAGTATTATTTCAGGTAAAACTATTATATCTAGTGATGTATTTTATCTATTAAAATATTAAATGTATGTTCATAAATGATAATATGAATATTTATTGAATAGACAATATTTATTTATTATTTTTAATTATAATATTTATTTATTAATTAATCGAATAATATCAATTTTATTATTTTGGATCATATAATTTACCAATTATGTTCACCGTATGTGAATGTGGTTTGTGGTATAAATAGATAATATTTTATTTGAATAATTTTGTCTCAATAACATTTTCAGTTTGTTAAATTAATTAAACTAGATATGAAAATAACTGCTTTAAGTTCTTAATTATTTTGTTTTATTTTCATTCCGCTTAGTTAACGACAAGAATGCTAATTAGACGTTTTAGTTTGTAACGAATCTGTCTTCATATTAATTACGACTGTGTTAAAATTTCTATACTACCAAGAATACTACAATGTTAGTGAGCAGGCACCTAGTACTCAACAGCTCAACAGTTATCAGAACATGTGAAATTGGAACAATTGATTTTGAGCTTTATAAACAACGAAATGGTTCCAAATTGATTGCAGAAATTCAACAGGTTTCTATGAACTGACATGCTGTTGATTGTACATTGTTTCACTGCTATAACAGATGTTATCATGTTATTTAATTTTGATAATAAAGAGTTTGCTTAATCTGACTAATCTAGCGTTATGAAAAGGAATTATCCATGTTTTATTTTTGCTCTGTATTATATTCCAATTACAGCAAAAGACGCTTAAATAATATCGAAAATATTTAAAAAAATATAAAATAAAATATCTGGAACTTAGGTATTATGCGAAATTTTTCTCATGGAAAATCCTAAAAATGTGACATTAGGAATACTTTCAGACGATTTTATAATTTAACAAGTGAGTAGATGTTTTTTTTTATATTCAAAAGATAATTTAGAATTACCTAACATGACAACCACGGAAATAAATAGGTAATAATTTCTGTGATGACAAAGTAATGATAATATCTATCGATATCAATATCAGGGGTTATATTCTATTTGATTGTTTTTACGACCGTAATAATTTTATATGAAACTAAATATGTGTATGCCTTCAAATCATTTACCAAAGGATGTGTGGAATTCAAAATTAATTGCGAAAATACACATTGCGGTAATCTAACGTTCTAGTGTAGCATAGCGCCGTCATAGAGGTGTCGTCACTTGTACATTTTTTTTTGTACTCAATTTGATCGTACTCAATTCTTTTCTATGATAAAAATATGTAAGTTAGAGCAGGACAGACGATGAAACGGTCCATGGTAAGTCTATTGTAAGAGTACAGGGTGAGTTTCATAGCTCGCGTCGTTTAGCTCTTCTGCTTTTGAAAAAATATTCAAAATTTGCAAATGTTATTAACAAAATAGTTTATTGAGATTTCAGCAACTTAAATATAATAACTTTTAGATATAAAAATTAAATCGAAATAAGTGCGTCTTTGTCGTCATAGTACATACTGCTAAAATCATCCACTGGCAAATCATCCGGGAGATCTAATTTCACAAGATTTTAATTATTATTGTTTTTTTTATGAAAAATGCTTAACAAATCCACTAGCCGCCAGCGATTGCTCTAATCATTTACCTGAGATCCAACAGGGCTCTCGAACTTTCCTAGCACTTGTTACTTTTCGCTTTTTTTTCATCAAAAACGTTTACAGTAAAGCTTTGTGACTGCAAAATCGATAAAATATTATTATTGATTTCCGTATCTTTGAATCGTGTCGATGTTAAAGTTTACATATGTAAAGAGTAAAGGATTCCTTTCGAATCTCGACTGTGATTTTTGGCTAAAATAGTCAATTTTGTCGTTCTTGATCTCATAAACAAACATATATGATAGTTTTGATTTATTTAATAGTGCAGAATAAATGACTATTGGCATAGTTCATAGTTGCTTCGCTTTTTGTAAATTGTGTTTAAGTTTCTCATAAACTCTAAATTGCAGGGAAAGATTTGATGGACTTTCTTGAGCTACCGTTCCAAACAATTGAAATAAAAATAAACTTGTATAGTTCGTAGAGGCTTCAAAATTGTGAATGATATTTAATCTTTTTGGCAAAATGTAGAAAAAAATACACTATAAACCAAAAACTACCTTCGAAACTAGCTTTGAATTTCTCTATGTACCAAATTATTATCCCATATAAAGATTTTCTATGTACCAATTTATTATCCCATATCAATAAAAACTATAATTATAACAGCAACATTACAACAGAATGCGATCCATCAACCGTTCAAGCTCAGTACCACAGCACACGAGATTGTTTGTTGAAATTTTGTGTTTGAAAAATGACATTTTATTTCTCGCAACATGCCAACACGCGTCTGAAAATCTTTTACTTTTATTTTTTTCACACAAATCAAACTTTTTTAACTGCGTATTTCATTATTTTGAAACATCAAATGAAAAATACGAATAAATCCTGTCTCTACCGAAAGTTTGCTGTCTTTTCAATGTAACCTAATCGAATAAAAAACTGATTTGTTTTCACGTGGAAAGAAAGTAGGTAATTGTTTTATTTATTGAGATTATCATTGCTAGTTCTGCTATACACATTCTTTTGTTTGGATAAATTAATGCCATGTTTTATTAAGTTTGTATTTAACTACCCAAAACGAAGATACACATGATTGCATCTCAGGTTACTATTATATATGAAATTTCTCCAGTAGATTTAAGCTCTACCCACTGTGACGGGCTGGAGCTTAGGTGTTGGTTGGTAAATGAAACAGCTGACTAGGCTTGAAAAGTTGGTAAATTTATGGCGTAAATAAAAAAAATCTAACAAAAAAGAGGATTATGAAAACAATTCAGGGTTTCTAAAATTATGATGGTTGGTAGGTACTTAAATAAAACAATTGCATAGCCCTTTTCTGGGTTTCTTTTTAAATATATCACTTATTTTTCACATTGAAAATTTATAACACAGTTCCTTTAAACATATTTGATTTTAACAGATTACTGAAATATTTTTTAATTAAAACCTAATGTTATGTATGTAGTGGTACAAGAATTTTCACGCTCTTTTTGAAGAGCATATCGCGTTACTCAAAATTTCATATTATGAAAAATGAACGTTTAAGTGAATAATAGAAAATAAATTATGTTATAAATCAAAGACAAAAAAGTTTGGAAGCAGGAACTTAGGACAAATTAAACGGTGTGGTATGACGCACCGTTACACCACAAAACATTAAGACCTAAAATAAGGTGGAGAAATTTGCCAGTTTTATATAACCTGACGCGCTGGTACAGTCAGTAATGTTTAAGACTGAATGTAAAGACAAAAGGTAGGATATCAACACGCCAGAGATTTTTATTTTTAATTTTACTCGAAAACCATTATGATTGTAGTACGAGTAATAGTTCTCGGTAATGCCCTAGGATATAAAATAACTCACATATTTATCAATTCATATAAAAAAGTTTGGAATTTACTTTATGATTGAAAAGGTCTTCAGGAATTGTCTGCCCTTCGATGGTCAGTGTGTTTTCAACTCTACTTTCAATACAATAGGGTTTAATATCTAGTGAAGAAATTTTAACTAACTAGATGTAATTTTTATTATAAAATGACGTATAAAAACGAATGACATTTTCTCATAAACAATATTATGTATTATTTATATGATTAAAACACGTGACTAGCATTTTTATTCCGTTTTATGTATATCGACTGTAAAATGTGTCTATTTGTCGATATTTGTTTATAAACAATTAAAACAAAACATACATCACCATGATACATATGTCCGACGGTGATGTATGTTTTTTGGGTTATACAACCTCTTCTACCTTCGGTTATATAACCTAATTAAAAAAGAAGTGTATAAATAATAGTATAATTAAAATCTTTTATTAAAACATTATGAGAACTGAAAACCTTCCAGGCCCTTCAACCTCTGTTAATAAACCTATAAAAACATTTATTATGTCTCGATTAGCTATTACTAGATTCAAATTCGAATTGCATTTACACTATCAAATTTGAGGCAAGCTATAAATATGTGTACTGAAATAGCTCCTTGGGCTCCTCATCACATTGATGCCTTGTCAAGTAGACTAAATTTTGCAGTTTTCGCTCTAATAAAAATTAAAACTTTTGACAAGATTTTGAATCAGCAAGAAGTTGTATTTCATTTGTTTTCATAGTATAATGAATAATTACTCGTACGAATGTACAAGGATTGTTATTTTGTGGTTTGGCTGATAACAAACACAATATTTTTATATTCCAAAAGACATTCCTGCTGTATAAATTTTAAAATCTGGAGAATCTCTTAGAGAAATACATATTTACAGAAATCAGTATTTCGTTTTATACTTCTCAATTTATGTAGAAACTCTAAATATAAGAAAATAATATTATACATTCACAAATAAAAGTAGTTTTTACTATCTTTTTACCCTCGACGCCCCTGTTTAAATAATAGCTTATGTCACCTAGTTATGTAGGTTCTTGAGAGTGAACTTTCTAAACCAT